GTTTTTTTAACGTTACTAAGGAATTTTTTAAACATTGCTAAGGAATTTTATTAACGTTGCTAAGGAATTTTTATAACGTTGCTGAATAATTTTTTAACATTGCCAAGGATTTTGTGTAACGTTGCTAAGGAATATTTTAACGTTGCTAAGGAATTTTTTAACGTTGCTAAAGAATTTTTTAACGTTGCCAAGGGATTTTTTAACGTTGCTAAGGTATTTTTTAACTTTGCTAAAAAGGAATTTTAGGATTTTATTTTTATTGTATTTTACTTGGGTAGGGAGAATTTTGCAGGTAGATAACGAATACTTTGAGGATTCTTTAAACCTAAATCATTACAGAAATCACCGAAATCACAACCTAAATCATCATCGAAATCATAACCGAAACCATAACCGAAATCATAACCTAAATTATAACCGAAATCATAACCGAAATCATAACTGAAATCATAACCGAAATCATAACCGAAATCATAACCGAAATCATAACCTAAATCATAACCGAAATAATAACCCGATTGGTGGAGCCAGAATTTCAACAGCCAATCAGAATGCAGGGATGTCACGGAAAATTCCACGGGACGGACTTTTGGAAATTATAATATAGATGGGCTACTACATTAGTACTATTTTTGCATTAATTGTTCCCCGCATTTTTATTTTCCCTGCTGCCGAGTGCACAAAAAATTGAAGAAATTTCGCTGTAATCAATTCTAATTAGTTTAATCATTTTTGTAGCAGAATTATTCAAAGAAAAAAGTGTGTACCTATGCATATCATAATTTTTTCAAGGTGTATGTACACTCAATAATTTTTTGAGAATATTGTTACCGCCGGAGATACTATACAACTCTACCGCGTGGTAACACTATAGTATGGTACCCACATAACAAATTGTCTTCTGAGGGTAAGAAATTGCTTCCGGTATCGGTAATATTTTTATTACCTGATAGTTGACATTGAGGGCTGACCAGGATCTAGCCTCTGTATATATGCTACCCTTCGGTGATAAATTATTACCCGAGCGGTAGAGTTGCATAGTACCTCCGCCGGTAACAATATCGTCAAAAAATTATTTAGAGTGTATGTACGAAACATTCAAGAAATCTTGCTTTAATAAATTTGGCTAAGTTTCATCATTTTTCAACAAGAAAAAACATTGCACACAATTTTTTTCACTTTTCCCTAGATCTCTCAGCGCATCACGACGTTCCACAATCCTTGGTTGCCAAGGCAACGAAAGCGTTCCTCTGGCTTATCGAGATCTCCATTCCGCTCGTGTGCCTGTTTCACTTCGTCCTGCTGCTTATCGTCCCATGCACGCCGCCCTTTATCCTCTCCATGTCGGCGTCCTGCAGCGCAAATGCGCACAATTCATTGGCGCGCGTCGTAATCCACCTTTTCGAATCGTGGATGTTGACACACACCGTTTACACGGCGGACTTATTCATCCTCTTCGTCTTCTGCTGTGGAATTGTGTCCCTACTGACGTACTACAAGTTAATGGAGAGGTATGCACTCTTAAAAATCCAGTGTTAAAATAATACCAGGCGGTATTCATATATTACTCTACCAGCGTGGTATTGATAAATAATACCGTGTCGGTATTAAGGTTTTACAATAGTGTTATCGAATTCTTTTTTACGGTTCGGTATTATTTTATATAATACCAAGCGGTAGCAATTTTAATACCGAGAAATCTATACCTGCGTGACTATACCGGATTTCTAACAGTGTACATAAATACATAGTTAAAAACCCATTTTTTAGGACAGACTCGGGTTTCTACGAGGGGTAGCTCAGAAATAATGAATTAATCGACGTTTTACGAGGGGTAGTTAATAATTAACGACAAAAGCAAATTTATGTAAATGAATTCCAAAAATCTTGTCTTTCTTCCTATCCATTTTATTTTTACTTCACTCATAAAATTTCTAAAAATTATAAAAAAATATAATTTTCTATGGCCAAAAATTTCACACATTGTAAAATTTCCAGGAAACTCCAACTCTCCGAAACAATCCACTCCTCCATCCACCTGTACCGACGTGTCCACCTCTTGGAAAAATGTGTCAACGACTTCGTTCAACCCCGAGTTTTACCCGGGTTAATATTTTGTGTTCCTGGGATTCAAATAATCGCGCAATACATCACAATAAATCACCACGCCGACATCGCAATGCCGGGCTTCCTCGTGTTTCCCATCCTCCTGCTAAACGCCGTCATTTCGAACATGCTCCTGCTCACGTTGGCTTCTTTCGTGCACAAGAATTCTACCAAAATCCTGCATAATTTGACCTCAAAATGGGTCCACGGTCGGACCAAGCGGGGACGGGCGACTCGGCGCGAGTTAAAATCCTTAACTCCGATGAAGATTAAATTCGGATCGATTTTGTCGATCGCCAAACACCACTTATTATTCAAACTTTCTGTATTAATCAAACCGTGTCGCTCACATTGATCAAGGCAACTTAGTTTTGTGACATGAACACTTATGTAAAGATTCTTGCACGATAGCATAATTTAATTAAGTTGAATGTTCTTACATATGTAGGTATGTAAATTGAATGGTAAAATATTCATGACACTTGGATGAGTTATGTAATAAGGAAATACATTGGTTGCGGGTTATTTACAATAAACAAAATATTACTTACAATGCGATTACACCAGCGGTCTCGCTCCGATTTTGATGAAACTTCAATAATTATGTAGCCTTAGATAAATAATTGAACACATGTTTCGGGATTTTTCATAATGCTCAGTTTAAACAAAGTTATGATGGTTTAAGCGGCCAAAAATTCGCATTTTTCTCGAGAAGTTTTTCTTTTTTGTTCTTGAAGGAGAAAAATGCTAATTTTTGGCCACTTATACCATCATAACTTTGTTTAAACTGAGCATTATGAAAAATCCCGAAACATGTGTTCAATTATTTATCTAAGGCTACATAATTATCGTGGTTTCGTTCAAAATCGGAGCGAGACCGCTGGCGTCATCGCTTAGTTAGATGCCAATAGGGGTATATTTCTGGTGCTATTTTTTGGTAATAAAGGGATCAACGATGCATTACTAAACAGACGTGACATTGTTATTTAAAGAATGGAAATTTGTATTATGTCAATTTAAGTTTTTTTAAAAATTAAAACGGAAAATCTTTTAATAACGGCGTCATCTCTGTTTGGTACGGAAAAATACATAAGTTTTTAACTAATGTATGTACGGGTAAAATATTTGACAAAAAATAACGTCAACCTAATGTAATATTTACCCAAAAATAGGACAAAGTACATAAAACCTTCGTGTCCGCGGGTCACCATTTGTCTCCAATCCTTTAAGAGTGTATTTACATATAAAAGAGGTCCACTAACGTCGCGGACTGATGTAATAAAGTGCTCAGAACTTTATACACAGTTAATCCAATTTCAAAAAAATTGCATATGTTTACTGCCAAAGTGTTTGGATTGCCACACAGTTAAATTTTAATGATTCAATTCCGCTATCTGCTACAGATTGCATTTTCTTCTTCAGATTTCGCATCAAATTCTGCGCAGAGACTGCACCTACTTCCAAGCTGAGTTTCTTCCAACTGTTCTTAAATTTTCGTAAGGTGTCTGGCGTTTCTTAAAGCTTAGAATATTTGGAGTTAGGCAGCGTCCAGAATTTTTCAATTTGTCGCAGTTGAGGAAAATTTGGTGGGTTTCCATTTTTTGGCACAAATTCAATTTTTTTCAGATGTCGGTACTCCGTTAACTTTTTGGCGTCATGGGAAGTTGCGAGGTCAGGCCAAAGCAAAACTTTATTTTTTTATGATGTTTGGTAATAAACGATTCCAATCCCCCTTTAATGCATGATTTAAGATAAACCTCCTGGTTTACAGTACCCTCCAAAATGACGGGATCGGAAACATGACCAATGCTAGACATGCGTTGCCAAATTCTTCATTTTTGGGGGAATTGGTATTTCTTTTGGACTTTGTCTTCATATTTCACTTCACAGGGGTTGGAACTATGGAAAAAATGCGTTCCTGGAGGATTTGAATGGTCGGCTGTGACGTGGGGCTCATTGTCCATGATGACCACGTTTCCCCGAATCTTCTTCAACAATTTCTTCCTGCACGCATGAATCCTTTCCTGTTGCGTTGGTTTGTAATTCGGTGCTGGTTTTTTTGCCCTTGCTATAATCCCTAGTTTATGGACTTCGATTTTGCTCAGATAGGTTTTTGAAATCTTGACCTTGCTTTCCGCTGCAGCCATTGTCGATGATGGATAATTTTTGAAGATTTTATTTATGCGATTTTTGACTTTTGTCGTCGCTAGCTTTGCAGGTCGACCAGTGGGGATTTTGAATTTGAGTTCATTGGATTCCTCGTACTTTTTTATGTAAGAGTTGACATTTGAATGAGGAATAACTTCTTGCTTGAAAAAGTGTGAAGTGATTTTAGAATCATAGTTTGTTCGATTTTTGTGAAACTCAATCACTCTTTTTTCAACTCTTGCCTTTCAACCCAAGTTTTTCTAGCCTTAGCCATGACTCAATAATTGGTGACATATATCAATGGAAAGCTTATAACTTGGTCTATTCAAAAATAATTTTTTCGAAATTTAATTTCGCTGTGTTCCCGCCCAGCGCGCCTTTGACGAGGCAGTTCGCGACGTTAGTGGACCTCTTTTATATCTACTTGTCTCTCGTACATATGTTTGTATGTATTGGAGCTACAAATCTTTACCAACTAGAATTTTATGTATATAATATTGAAGATGCGGAAACATCTTATTTTACGACAGTTTTTTTATTTACATACACGCAAAAAGAATATTATTATGTAGATTGATTCGTTTAAACGTTGACGAGTTTTTTTCTGTCAAACCAGTTTTTTGCATATTTATGTATGTCGCCTGACTTTGCCACCTAAAAGCAAGATGCATACATGCATGAACATAATTTAATTGGACCAGTGTAATAAATTTTAGTTTGCAATCAGGCTTGGCAGGATCCACTTGTGCAAATTTATTGCTTTATGTATAACGTACAAACTTGATTTATTTATTGTTGTGGAACACTGACGCAAATGAGCAATAAAATAATGTAGCATGAATCAATATATTTGAGTAAAGTGTCACAAATTAGTTTTATGCAGTGTTCTTTTGACATTAATTACTTAATTAAGACAAAAAATAAAATTCCAAGAAAGAAACACATGTTATGGGTTACGTTAAAGGAATTTCGTTCGTTCTTCTCTGGTATATTGGGTAAGGTCAATGCGTTAAACGTTTTATGCACAGTTTTATTGCGGAAATTTAGCAGAACAACGAAATTTTGCTAAATACGTGAGATTGCGCAAAATTGTTATTGGAAAATAATGCCATTTTCTTGTCCCAAATTTACAAAATTAGGCTTGCTTTTATTTCCCAAAATTATTTCGAAAATTTCGCAAATTTTGTAAACTACGTAAAGCAATACGTATTTAGATATTGCCAAATTTTACAGAATCTGAATAAAAATATGACTACCAGACAAGACTGTTCTAACTGGTTTCTTTTAATTATATTTTGCGAATCTCCTCCCCTTGAGCTTCGCAAATTAAATGAGTTTCGATACAAAAGTTGCCGTGAATACGCTTATAATTAAATTATTTGTGTGACAACTTATAATTAAAAAGCTATAAATTTTTCCACATTTCAGGATAATTTGGTCCGTTATCTATGTTTACGCCCCCTTCTTAATTTTACTGCCATTCAGTCGGAAATGGTACCGAAAAGTGACCGATATTAGTAAGTGAACACTCTATTTAAATAATCCAAATGAGGAATATGTAAGCATTCTTTCTTCCGCAGTTCTATCCTGCTGGGAAATGTATCCTGTAGTAAGCGTTAAAAAGATCCTTAATACATACATAAATAAATAACCTCCCGACAAAATAATTGTATTCATTTTAATTGCGAATATTTTTTTTGCCATGGATTCTCGTATTAATACTTACATAAATTCCAGTTCAATTGTATTTGTGTTGCAAATTTGCGAAAATATTTTTTTTGCACACGTTTGCATTTTCTACAGAATTTAATAAACTTTGAGTGCATAACCCTAATAAGTATGATACAAAAATAAGGAATATTTTGTATCCTAGTCGCTCCTCCAGTTGATGATGGGCTGTCGCATTTGTCTCTCTGGGGATGAAATTGACCCCGCTGAAAGCGCCATTATTATCATGAACCATCGTAATCGGTATTAATTAAGCTTTAATTATTGTCTAATAACTTTAATTGATTAATTTACAATATCTGATTTAAATAATTGGTAGACTAGACTGGTTTTTCTTATGGGCCGCCCTTCTTCACGGCTGTCCAGCACATCGGTGCAAATTTGTCCTGAAATCTTAGTAAATTAAAAATTAAAGCACGTTTTTTAAATTTCGCTTTAAATTTACCGGAAATGGTTTATTTTAACCAAATCCAGTGTTCGTTGGATTCCAGGGATCGGATGGGGCCTGCAAATGGCAGGGTTTCTCTTTCTTCACAGGTGAACAAACGTACCTAAGAAGCGAATGTTATGCTCGTGTTACAATTTTACCACATCGGTAGCAAATTTTTATCAACCCTAATAATTTTACTACCAAATGGTAATAAAGAAAAATCAATTTATCACTGGCTATATCATATTTCTAAGAGTTTAGAATTTTCTCGAAAAAAATAATGTGAGGATGTTTCTCACGATTAAAAAATGTATCACTTTCTCTCAGAAATTGGAAGAAGGATCAAGAATTTTTAAGAAGATCGCTGAACTACTTTAAGAAATTGGATGAGAACTACCTGGTACGATTATGAGACATTATTCATGAATACTTATTACCATATGTATGGGTTTCGCTAGATTCTCATATTTCCCGAAGGCAACCACTTATTTGCCGCGACCAAAAAGAAAAGTAACGCCTTCGCCAAAAAGGCTGGACTACCCGGGTACGACTATGTTCTTCACCCGAGAACCACGGGATTCACATTTCTGGTCCAGCAAATGCAGAAAAGTAGGCGTATTTTTTGTATTGGCATCATCCATCATTTGTCTATTTTATTTCATATAAAGTAATTTGAAAATGTTAGTTAGTGTGAGACTGAATGCAGAGTGGGTGCTATGGAAAATATATAAATTGCTTACTTTGCAAGAATATTTTTTGCAGAAATAGCGCCACCTAGAGAGAAATTACTATAGTACAAAAGGAAACAACGGGAACATTTAATCTCTCATTTGCCTAACAGATTCTCGCCTCGACGCAGTCTACGATTTAACCATTGCCTACCCGAAAACCCTTCCCATAAATGAGCTTGACATTCTGAGTGGGAAAATTCCAGAAGAGGTTCACTTCAATATTTCCCGCTACGAGGGGGACACCTTACCTCGCGACGAAGAGGGGATTAAAACATGGTGTGAGCAACGCTGGGCCGAGAAAGAAACGTCCCTTAAGAAATTTTATTCCGAAAAAAACCCCAACCTGAGGAGATTATCGTCCAAAGTGCGGTTCGCGAGACCATGGAACGCAATGTTTCTTGCCATCGCGTCCTGGACCGGGATCACCGTGTTTACAACGTACCTCACTTTCTTCACCACGTGTGGTTTTTATTACACGTGTTTCTCCATATCGGGTTTCGTTTTAGTTTCTTATTTTACTTATGGCATTCAAAACTTTGAACTTGACCTGTTTTACAAATATGACTGTCTAGATGTCTCCCAGTGAGGGTGCAAAATACGAAATATCTACATACTAGCCTATAAGCCCGTCTTAAAGACGGTCCACATCAAGTTTCAAATCAACACAACAAAATCACTCGATGAAAGCACCACATAACTGAGGCGATGTACTAATTATAACCGAGTTATAACTTGAGAGTAAAACAACGTCTAAATATATTGAAACATTGAAAGGGCTGTTCCGTTCAACTTTCATCGACATTCCTTCATTCAGATTGGTTGCCAGCTTCCTTAGGAATTTTTTTAATGTTGCTAAGCAATTTTTTAACGTTGCTAAGGAATTTTCTTATGCTTGAATTTTTTTGACTTTGCTTGGGAAATTTTTTAATGTTGCTAAGGAATTTTGTTCAGGATGCTAGGAATTTTTTTGTTGCTGAGCGAATTGTTTAACGTTGTTAAGGAATCATTTTAACGTTTCTAAAGAATTTTTTAACGTTGCTAAGGAAATTAAATTTGAATTTTTTTTCTGGTTGCCAATAATCAAAATCGTAACCGAAATCATAACCGTAATTATAACCGAAATCATAACCGTAATTATAACCGAAATCATAACCGTAATTATAACCGAAATCATAACCGTAATGATAACCGTCATCACAACCGTAACTATAACCGAAATCATAACCGAAATCATAACCGTAATTATAACCGAAATCATAACCGTAATCATAATCGTAACTATAACCGAAATCATAACCTAAATCATAACCGAAATCATAACCGAAATCATAACCGTAATTATAACCGAAATCATAACCGTAATCATAACCGAAATCATAACCAAAATCATAACCTAAATCATAACCGAAATCATAACCGTAATTATAACCGAAATCACAACCGTAATCATAACCGAAATCATAACCGTAATTATAACCGAAATCATAACCGTAATGATAACCGAAATCATAACCGTAATCATAACCGAAATCATAACCAAAATCATAACCTAAATCATAACCGAAATCATAACCGTAATTATAACCGAAATCACAACCGTAATCATAACCGAAATCATAACCGTAATTATAACCGAAATCATAACCGTAACTATAACCGAAATCATAACCGAAATCATAACCGTGCTGTGATTGGCGGAGCTAGGAAGCCGGCAGCCAATCAGAATGCAGGAATGTCACGGAAAATTTCACGGCACGGACTTTTCGAAATTATAATATAGATGTACAAATTAATAGATGTATGTATGTGTTAACAAGAATTGTTGCAATCTGTAGTTAGAAATAAATCGATGCAAAACAAATGTCACAAAGTGGTGAAAACAAACGACTTCTAACATCTTCCGTTAACCAATCCTTACATAATGTCAAACAAAAATTTAACATTTTAAATCTGTAAACCCTTACAAATATTGAAAGGGCTCATTTGCAGCTCAAAATTAAACACGTGAATTCTGCAGAAGGTTTCACGTGCAACACCAACTGAAATATATTTCGATTTATTCCCTTGATTTTTATTGGTTTTAAGAAGATCCGTGAAAAACATGTCTGACTTGTCCATTGTGAGTTACCGACTTGATGATTATGACAAGAATAAAGATACGGTTCCCAAGTTCCATTAAATTTAAGTATTTATTTACAAATTAAACTTAGAATTGTACTGCACTTCTATGCATTACTCTAACTGATTAGCGTATTGTAAATCGTCCAACTCCCGAACAAACGCCCGCGTAATTTCTTCCGCTTGACCAGCACGCGGGAGAAGATTTTTACTCGCAAAAACTCCCAATCTCAACGAATCTCCAAGCGTAATGAGGACAACGCCAAGGCCTAAAAATTTAGCAGGAATTTATGTATACTTCGAATTACATCATTTTTGCACAATTTATCAAAGTTACCCGCATAACCGACATAAAATCCCGTCATGTTGAACACGTCTTTGGCCAAGTAGCCGCAAAAATTCGGTTTTTCCAATGGACCAGCTAGATTTCCAATGAAAATCCGCTGGTATCCGAATTGCCGTTTGTTTATTTCCTGCAAAACGCGACGCGGGACGGAGGCCAGGGTGTAAAAAAGTATGGCCCGTGTGAGCGGGAAAGTTGATTTTTTCATCTCTGTAAGCGCTTCCTGGGTGCGAAGTAGCCGTTTTAAGGGATCAAGTTCTCCGATCGGGGCAGTGTAATTACCCTTCGTTCTGAAATTTACGATATAATTTGATGACTTCGATTATGGATACGCAGGTTTGCGATCAATGGGTTTGTTAATCTGAATATTCGTGGGGTAGGATTTTTTAGAATATTGGCGGGATTTTAAAAAATCGACTATTCTTATTCCAGGAATTACGTATTTGACTTTCTGCCCATGATTGTTGGAGGAGTGTAAAATTACATGTGTGGGACACCCCGAGAATTTTGGGGAAAACGTAAAAGAGTTGGATATATTAGTGAGACATTAGTGCTCAATGCGTATGTAACTCGAAGTCTTTTTGGGGCAATACAAGATTCTTTATAATTATTGGGCAACCAAAAAAATAATCGACTATTACATATCCTTTCGAAGTAGGCGTTTAACTTTCTGTGTGAACAACCCTCACGGAAGATTGAACGAATGTAAGGTTTAAGGGGGTAAAGTAAGAATTTTTATATAAAACCATGAAATTACGATTCTTTTATCGCCCAGTGTGTTTTTCACTTACATATTGTTTCCCAAAGGTCTTTCCTTTCTCCATGGCGGGTGCAGATTCGTCTCCACCATGACCGTCGCGGAATGTGGGGTCCCTTCGGGAAAAAAGGAGCTTCTCACCGCCCCCAAAATTGCAGAATGCATGACGGCCGTTCCAGTCACGCCGTGCTGAGCCCCCACCTGACGAATCCGGCTGAACGGGATGGGCTCACAGATGTGAAACCGAAGATGCGAGGCTGCCTCCGACGGAGTAAAGTTATCGCCCAGGGAAGTCCAAGACTTAATGACATAGTACAATATTTAGTAGCGGGCAGTATTTAGCACCTGCTAAGGACAGTCGCAGTTCATGAATTTTTACCAAAAATAAAAAATTAAGCCACGTGTCTAACTAAATAGCCATTATATAAATTTAGTATGAGAGCTTTCATATATCACGTCATCAAAAATTTGAGTCGGTGGTTTTTGGTGGCTTATTCAATTCGGGTCAAATTCGATGGCTGGTCTAAAAATTGGCGTTTTTTTCTAAATGACGTAATATATGCACGTTCCCTACTTGCTTAACCCGTAAATTTTTTCTTACAGTCTATTTGCACAATGTGTTCAATTTAAATATGTTAAGGAATTTAAGCATATTTAAGAAAACTCTTTAAAATAATGTTATCCTTTTGAAAATTAAATAAATGCACTATTAAAAACGATGGTACTATTTTTAAGAGTGTACCAAACGCATGTGCTACTTTTATTAAAATCTCACCTTCGTATCTTCTACTAAACACCCGCTGCGGGATCCTTCCCGACACGTGGCCACGAAGTCGTACGGCATCCCTAAATACCGTGCGGGCGATCGGTTCATCGCTGGCGGGATTGTGTAAGTCTCTGCTTTCCCCAATTTCGTACTATGTGGCAGCGCCATCTTCCTAAACATGTGAAAGACCCCGTTCCCATCCGTCATGGTGTGGTGAAAGCGAAATATCACGATCGAAGAGGGCGCCACGGTGGGGTCGTATTTTCTCCGCACGATAATAATTTCCCATAAGGGTTCGTCTTCTTTGAAAGGTTGGAAGGTGAGACTTATCTGCAGCTCGAGCAGTTGCTCAGGGGTGACATCTGTATCGAAATACATGTGCATTCATGAGTTTACAGAATACAGAATTTAAATTTTAAAAAAATCAGCAAAATGCTGAGTTACTGATCGAAAACTTTCACTATACAGAGGGTTAAGCAATGTTATTGAGCCTATCGCTGTTTGCCCCATGCCTAAAATAATTAGCACTGACTTCAAATATTCGAAATATTTCAGAAGGTTAAGATAAGCTGCGTCGAATGTAATCGATCGTTAACAAAAAATATCTACTTTCACTATATCTTCACATTCGCGTGCGGCCTTCTACGGAGGCTAAAACCTGCGCATTGATACATCGTGTCGTTTGCCAATTTCAGGTTAACTGAATTTGTGATCGATTAAGACTAAATTGGTCAAAAAAGGACGTGCTATGATTGCAGGCAGGCAGAATATTCTCATCGAAAGATTTCACTTTTCTCAGATGCTATTGCTTTCTTTCCTAATAAATATTTAAGTATAACTCACCTTCAGGAATGAATCGAACTCGATCCTCCACTATTCTTGACTTGGCCCAAAACGGGTGTCCCATAAAGGTTTTTATCGTCCACCCCAGTTCCGGATAGAGCAAGCGATTCCCCACTTTTGCCTCGAGCACTTGAGTCCTCCAGGTGTTCCGAATATGGTTTGGATCCACGTCCCCTTCAACTTCCAGCGTGGAAACCATTGAAGTTATGGGGGAAGAGTAGATACGATCGTACGAAAATCTGGCATCACTCGGGGTCAAGATGGTGGTCAGGTCTCGGCGGAACTACAAATTTCCGAAACAAGTTAATATTTTAATTGTTTATTATTTTCCCAATTTTTTTGTAAAACTATGGTATATAAATTAAATGATTCGATATTTAATCAAAAACCAGATTTCTGAAAGATTTTCAAATTATATAAAAAAATCTAGCACAACGAGTATTCAGGGATGGAATTCGGATATTATGGATCAAGAATTTACCGAATTTAGGAATATTCAAACCAGCCATTTTAAAGTAGTAAAGAAAACTACGACTTTATTTTTCCGGATTTTCAAATTCTCCAACAATCATAAAAGTCTGGAGAAAAATAACTTTGATAGTTTTTTTCCGGGTATTATCGGACTTGAAGTCGCGATTATCACAACGAAAATTCTGACCAAGGAGTAACAATCTCCAACATTTTTATAATTTTGAAGCAAAAATCACGAATTTTTCGAATTACTAAAATCCACTTTTATGCATCTATTTAATTACCAGCCACGCCACAATTTGGACAAAACATCGATAAAGATGGAACGGCAGCCAGGCCAAAAACAGTGGGGGAACAAGCAGCCATAACGGCAAGTACAAACACGTCAAGAAAGCCGATCGTTTTCTCATCGTCTTTAGTCAAAAAATGAAAATTCTTATGTTTCTCGGACAACCTTCTAACAATAACTGAAATCTAATTTGAGCCGATCCACCACAAAATATGTCGAATAAGTCTTAACCTTCAAGATTCTACGACGTATATATTGTCCAGATTTCAAGGGCGATTAGGCGAAATTTGCAAAACAAAAAAATGTCGTGTGTCTGGAACGGGACGGGAATACTAAATAATTAAGCGAGATACATACAAAGATGTCTTCCTGCCAGACGGACAACACAATTTTTACAAGGTCTGGATCTCACGGTTAGTCTAGTTATTATTAACTTTATCTAGATTATATACCTACATACTTAGCTGCTTAATATGCATATTGTACTTATGTAGGTTGTTTGTCACGATAGATAAACCAGTTTATGCATATTTATTAAGTGATATTTTTATTTTTTGACAACTTATTCACTCGTCTTGACTTGGTCTTCCTAGAGAAGAAAACATTCCCTTTAATCAGATCAGTCCAAATATTCTCACGCATTGTTCCAAATTTCTAAAAATTTGAGACATCCGTGATAAAAATGGGGGGTGTAAAGTCTACGGAAAAATTTTATGAGTTAAAGTAGGATACCTTATTTTGGATTTTTATTTAAAAAACCTGCCTTGCCAAATTGAGTAAGTTGAATGGGTGAGTTCATGAATCACGTTTTTCCTTAAGTGTCCTTAAGCGACTTGACTATTAAATATCTGACTTTTGACAGATTTGAACATACATATTTACATAAATTTCTGGGAAATGGAAATTAAGTTAGAAAAAGTAGACACCACATTTATTCCTGGAAGGATTACACAGAATTTCTGAATATTTCATGGCCTCAACGAGAATAAATTTGCATACAGACATACATACATCTGTAATCTTCCTACAGCACCTTTTCTTTAATTGTTGTCAATAACACTCTTACAAGGGAACCTATCGTCTTGTTAAGCCTGGATTTGTCGTTACACGAAAACATGCAAATGTATATAGTCTCATTTTCTAATATATACATGCAATCAAGTCAAGACGTCGTGCAAGATTAAGGGAAAAGTGAAACACTTTGTGCATTTTTTCTTTGTAGGAACAATTCAGTTTTGGGACAAACTCGGACATGGATTTTTTTACAATATTTTTGACTGAATTTTGAAATAAAGTTTTCCATCCTTTAAGGTTTGAAATACTATTACGAAACCATTAAGGTGTAAATTTTGAAATAATATTTTCCAACAAGACCGTTTTCGTTCATCAATTTGCAACTGTTTCTACTTACATCATATCAGGCCAAACTTTATCCTAAATTATGTAGATTTTCCGTCTAATTAATTTTTTTTAATTTGAGAAGAATCCAGGCGCAACGGTACGACGAGGTCCCCTTGTCAACAATGTCACCGTAGGAAATCATTCCATCAATCAATCATCCATCCATCCCAGCCCAGCCCGAATACCAATAAATGTAAATGTAAATGTAAGCATGTATGCAGCATTAAATACGTATGCTAAGATGCGTAGGGAAAAACAGGAAAAGTACATACATTCACCAGAAACCAGTTTACTTTTTAATTGACTCAAATAAATAAAAATGTATGTATGTATCTATAAATAAAAGGCTAATCTACACAAACACATTTGTGTAGGTGCATACGACTGCATACTAATAAATCTTACCTTACGACTTCTTCATGTGTCGAACCTGTTTCTGCACTGGTAATAAAAAGTGCACGTTGCAATAATGGCTTTTCATTAGGTAGGACCCCAACTCACTTCAGGTTATCTGACACGAGCATTTTTTTAAAAATGGATCACTCCTGCTGCGGAATAAGTTGCGAATTCCTAGCCTAGTCTGACTCTTGACACGAAAAAAACAACAGATATCTAAGACGAATTGAGAACAATAAGTATTTATGGTAATGAACATATTCATTTCTGTGGTGAGTGCTTGTCACCTGTTTTATTTTTCTTGGCTAGATTTTGGCTAGGAATTCCTAACTCATCAAATAGTCACCCATTCCGTAGCTTTTCTAACGATAAGCCTAGATTATACACACACGTGTGCACACTGCTAGAAATTTTGGTATACATATACAATCGGGCATGTATTGGTTACAGTAACCACGGAAGCCGGGTGGATATTTGGGGGACAGTAATATTTCAGAATAGAGGGGGGACCGTTCGTGGACATCGAGTAAAGGTTGTAGCTCTCTCTACATCCTTCTGGGGCCACTGATTGGTTATTATGACCATTTTGGGGCAGTCATATATAAGAACATATACATACATACACTCAAAATGAAAATTTGTCGAATCAACACCGCCTGTGTCAATATATGACTTAACCGCCTTGGTTACAATGTTGAATCCGAGTTTTGATGATTTTGATACCGGTGGTTATAATGTTATGACCGGACTGAAAAAATTCATTACTACTCGGAATCCCAATTGTAACCAAGGCGGTTAAGTCATATATTGACACCGTTTTGTTTTGAGTGTACATTAGTGGTCTCAACGGTTCTCGGTTCTCATAGAACCGAACCGGAACCGATGGCTCGGTTCGGTTCCGGTTTATACGGAGAACCGAACCGAACCGAAACTTTTATTACCGGTTCGGTTCCTGTTCCAAGTCTTTGAGAACCGAACCGAACCGGCCGGTTCGGGTTGAACCGAACTTCATACATAAATACATTAGCGAAGTCAATCATTTTTCCAAAAAGTTTTACGAATTTCCCGAAATACACATAGTTTCCAAAATGAAATCTTTACTTGGTCACACCCCAAAGTTTCCAAAATGAAATTTTGACTTGGTTACACCCCCAATGTTTCCAAAATGAAATTTTTACTTGGTCACACCCCCAAATGTTTCCAACATGAAATTTTTACTTGGTTACACCCCCAAATGTTTCCAAAATGAAATTTTGACTTGGTTACACCCCCAATGTTTCCAAAACCAAATTTTGACTTGATGACACCTCCAAAGTTTCCAAAATGAAATTTTCACCCCCAAAGTTTCCTAAACGAAATTTTTACCCCCAAAAGTTTCTAAAATGAAATCTTTACTTGGTCACACCCCAAAGTTTCCAAAATGAAATTTTGACTTGGTTACACCCCCAATGTTTCCAAAATGAAATTTTGACTTGGTTACACCCCCAATGTTTCCAAAATGAAATTTTGACTTGGTTACACCCCCAATGTTTCCAAAATGAAATTTTGACTTGGTTGCACCCCAAACTTGGAATTGTTTTCTAACTTCAATAATACATACATAAGTGGTTTTGCTGTTGACATGTATTAGAATTTGCTTGTTTAAATACAGATAAGTTATTGGCTTGTATGTGAAATTTCATCAGAAACACGTCAATTAGCATTGTTTGTTGTTTATTGCATATTAATAACACTACCGGTTTGACCCGAACTGCCGGTTCGGTCACGGTTTGGTCCGGTTCCGGTTCGGTTCCAGCTAAAAAAAGTTCGGTTCTGTTTCGGTTCTTCAATTCTGGTTCTCGGTTCTAAACCGGTTCTTCCAAGAACCGAACCGAACCGCACCGTTGAGACCACTAGTGTACATATATATGAACACTTCTTGGAATTGCTTTAATATTCGATTTCTAAGAGTGCATGGTTGGTGAAGGTTGTTGCTCATTTTATCCTGGCAAAAAAAGTAATGGAAAAGTAGTGGAAACTGGAAAGTAGTGGAAAAATTTGCTGGAGTATAAACACTTAAATATGTACATACATACTTTTTTTTAAATCAAACGCAGATGGACCAGGTGTCGCACTTACATATCTAATTAAACATACTATATCTTTATCGTAATCTCTGTAACTTTCCATACATATTTGCAAGTGCAGAAATGCGGTTGAAGATGCCATCGCAAGCGCAATTAGGGGAGACAACAAGCACTTAAGAATGTATGTATGCTAATAAAATCACCACCTCCGAGTATCCTCCGGAATTCAAGTTTTTATTCGAATCTTGTATTTAAATATGTATGCCTTACATCAATGTGATCACAAAGAGTTGATTTATGTATAAGTATTTGCTGCCAAGCTTAATCACGTTCTGATTTTACTAAAACTTAGGTTCATGTAAAAATACATATTTAGATGCGCTCTAAATCCTAATTTAATCAAATTATGCCATTTTGATAGTTAAGATTTACGTATTCGAAATATGTACCAACTCTTAAAAATTATCTCATTGATTCTACGAAAAATAAATGCAGTCTACATTCAAAATTAAGTAAAATACACTAAATCCACAGTATTTAACTTTATTAAGGGTAAATTTTACTCTGGATTTAGTGTAGTTTATTTAGCACTGAATGCAGACTGTATTTATTTTTTAAAAGATAAAATAATTTTTAAGAGTGAGTGCAAATTTCGAATACGTAAATCTTAACTATCAAAATAAGCTTTATAATATCGAGATTAACATTGGATACGAGACATAATCGTCACACCCTTGGAAAACGGGTATTAAATCATTACCAACCGGAGTACATACATATGTGACTCTACGAGCACTGGTATTAACGGGAATTACCGGTAGGTAATGTTGTGGGAATGAAAAATGTATCTCTCAGGAACAATTTACTACCAATCCGGTAGGAAATTATTACCAAATCAATACCAGTACGGAGTATCTATATGACTCTACCAGATTTTTAACAGTGCACACAGGGCTCTGTACAATCCGAGGTGGACAGATGTACGTTATCTACTAGGAAAATCGGTCACTTGTGTACCAACCCGCAGAATAATAAGTAATTTCCACTCAACCAGTTTAGCATCTTTCTTGGGTGATATCACATTTGCATGCGTACCGGATCCCAACCGATATTATTTTACATATGCACATCACTTTTTACAATTGAGTTGCTCTCTGATTTATAAAGTGCAACTTTATTTGCCTAATATAAAACCTTTCGCTGCCCGGGCGGGTTTAGGAAGTCATTTCCAACGGGAGGCCGGAAGTTACCGCAAATTTCGGATAAATATCAGTTTGTCCATATTTACATCTGTTATCAGTTTTTTTATGTGGGAACTTGTCCACAGATGTGCCAACATGCTTGTACGTGTAAATTTGTCCACGTTTGTGTACCTTTGAATTTGTCCACATTTTTGCACATGCAGATTTGCCAATGGCTTTGTCCACATTTTTGTAAGTGTAAATTTGACAAAAGCTATGGCCTCATTTCTGCTTATACATATTTGATCCGAGGAAAGGACTTTTGTCTTTGTAGGTTTTTAAACATTTTTTAACCAATTTTGATAGTAATTTTATTTTTTTAAGTTACATAATTTCTTTCAAAATTTCACATTTTCATAAAAATTTCATAATTTGTTCAAACTTTCATAATTTTTTTCAAAATTTGAAAAAAAATTGTAATCTCCTTTAACTCGTTGGACACCTCGGTATGTTCCCTTGTGAGGTGGATGTCATCTTGCTGTCAAAATCTGTCATTCACCATCCGAATAAAAACTTCGACTCAACCTGTTTCTCTTTTTTTGGGGTGACATCACATCACATTCCTGTACAGCATTCCAACCATCATGATTTTAAATCACTTTTTTATATCGAATTTTTCTATCATTTGTCAAATGCTACACACTTAAAGTCAACCTTTTTAATACGAAGGACTCCTACTTATAATGTAGTCTCGTTATTTTTCTCTAACTTTAAAATTTACCTTTGAAAGTTTCTTGATAAATTAAGAAATCGCTAACAAATCGAAACATGACGTAATCCAATTTTATTACTTGTTCATCTGCTATGGACCCTTTACACACATCTTTATTCTTCGTAATCTTCGCAATTAGTCTGCCAAACTGTGCAAATTTACTCCTCCCGTTTGAAATTAGTTTCAACCCGGATGAAATCAAGTTTCTCATAATTAATTCTCAAAGGTATGTAAATACAGATAAACATGTATCATGTAAAGCTGAGGGAGAAAGTATTGGATTTTGAAATCACCTCAAAATTCTTTCTCAAATTATGTATGGTTTGTGCGTTAAAATTATACCCTTATCTACGAATTTCTTGTGAAAAAATAGTCTGATTATTAAATCTTATTTTTATCACGTGTCTATAAAAATGTGTAAGTATTTATAAAATTTGAATACTGGAAATCAAGCCATATTCCAAAGTACTTAGCTTAGTATCACGGCACCTTAACCATAACAGCGCGGGAATACTTATTTCCTGTGTTTCAATTCAGTAAGCGTCTCATTTACCCCCAACCCTACTTTTGTCCAGAGGGTGTATAAACTTTCTGAATAGCGTGTTTTTTAAATGCTTTTTCTTGCAGTGGCCTTGAAGAAATTAGATATCTGGACACGGCTTCCCTGAATGCGAGTCCCTACAGACCAGGGGAGTTAACGGTTTTTCTAATCCACGGGTTTCTAACACAAGTCAACCTAACGGGGAATAATGGCAAGATTTTGAAAATTTTATTTGATATGGTCTGTCTGATAATGATAAATAGACCATTGGCCAACATAAGTTAAGAGTAGGATTTACAATAAAATGGAAATTTTCAAGGAGAGCCGTCTAATGCACGAGTTATAATTAGTCCAAAATGTATTCCTTTGCAACCTTTTTCGTCAAAAATAATGTACATAAAATAAAACCCTAACCAAAATTAATTTCAGGAAATTTTGCCAATAACTGGATGACATCGTTCAACCCAAATATTATTTTTATGGATTGGTCCGCTCTCTCAGGGAAGATAATTTTCCCGCTCGACTTCGCCCCGTTGTATTTCGCAGCGAAGAGTAATTTAGAAACGGCGGGAAAAAGAATGGTCAATTTTATCCAGTGGCTGGACAACGAAGGGGTCATCGATTTGGATAAGATTCACGTGATTGGAACATCTTTAGGCGCTCAGTTAGCGGGACGGGTTGGAAGAGATTTCCAGCTGGCGATGGGAGGCAGGAAGATACCGCGCATTTCGGGTGAATTCATAATATGAATTTCATATTTGTCCATGAATTTGTACACAATTTTACATGGAAAAATTTATCAATGTTTTTGTCCAAAATTTTGTTCACAATTTGGCATTCACAAATTTGTCAGTTAATTTTTCCACATTTTTCCACTTACCTATGTATTTTGCCGTAGATTTGTCCACATTTTTAGACGTGTAAATGTGAATTTCGGAATTATGTATTTGCAAATTTGTGCATAAATTTGCCCACAGTTTTGTTCCTGGATAGATTTCTAAATGTGCAAGTTGGATTATTCGTAATTTTGAACACCAATTTGAACCCTAATTTTGACAGAATTGTACCCATTTTTTACAAAATTTGAGTAATTTTTACATAAACTTTATATTTATGTAAATATGTAGGTAAAAATAATCTTTATCCTGGAAAACTTATCTATATATGTTTGTAGGATTGGATCCTGCAGGCCCATTCTTTTACCCGTCCCTCCCTGAATGGATCATTGACAAAAGCGACGCCTACTTCGTCGATCTTTACCACTCCAATGCCGGCGAGTTCGGGACGGACAGACTCGATGGTCACGCGGATTTCATAAGTTCGTTAAATTTTCTTAAAATACCTCCTACCCTAGAAGTTAAGACTTACCTTATCCCAAAAATCAACAAATTTCAAATCATTTCTCACCTTTGGGAATTTATTTTAAAAATTCTAGATCACAAATTTCTAGTCAATAATTTGATCGACAGAATCGCAGGTAGTTTTTTAATCCAGTTTCTATGGGTTCCAATTTTTCTGGAAATTTCTTGAACTGCTCCTTCAAAAAATTTCAAAATTCAGGGTGCAAATACATTTGGCCTCCAGAAATTTGAAATAAGTTCCCATACTCGAAAAATGAATACAAATATCTTGATTATTACCACTTTGACGACGAGTCTTACAAAGATAATATATACGCAAAGATAACCACATTTATTAAATACATTTAGTAAATAACGGCCAATCTCAACCCGGCTGCAACGCGGGATCGAATATTTTATTCTGCAGTCATCAAACTGCCCAGTATTTATTCGCTGATTCGATTGATAACGCGTACGTTGCCTGCCAATGTTCCCAGAGGGAGCTGGACCTCAAAAATTTTGAAATTTGTGTAGGACAATGTCCAAACCCGGTCTTTGCCGGGATTTACACACCCCACACGTAAGCAAATACGTATTCATTAGGTTTATTTTTTGTTCGACACTCTTAAAAATGATGCTTCCCTTTTGTAAAGCAGATGCACCCTGAATTCCATTTTAAGTAAACCAAACTAAATCCAGACTAACGTCAACTTGTTGAAAAGTAAAATTTTACTCTGGATTTTGTATAGTTGACTTAATACAGAATTCAGAGTGCATTTATATTTCGGAAGGGTAACATGATTTTTAAGTGTGCACGACTTGTTCAGAATTATATATTTGTATTTTATTCGATTAGCGAAGGTTACAAATAGATCTAGAAAACTTGGCATTTATTTCCATGAAAATTTTTCGAAAAGTTTTAACCACCCAAAATTTAACATATGTATGTATGTAGGAATAGATTTAGACTTTGTACTTTTGATGTTGAGAAAAACTCAAAAATTTTGTCCAGTCACATATTTACATACTTATTATTTTAATATCCAAGTGATGTAAACTTTATATACAAACATTGTTTTTCAGGGCACGTGGCCAGTATTACATTGATGTTCCGTATCCCTTAAAGTCACCTCCGTTTTTATCAAATTACTTCTTTAACACGATTCCCATCCTGGGGAAGTGAATTTTTTCATACCTAAATATTTATTCCATCTTCCCGCGGGGGATCCTCCTAAAACTATTACCTACATGCATGGATTTAGCATTAGTTTTTCGAAATATTTAACTCTGGCAAATATATCATTTTTTATTTTTCATATCATGTTTCATTTTTTGAATTGCTTAGCAAAAAATATGAATTAATTTACATTTTATGCAATGTGTAATAAATGCAAAGAATTTAATCTGCAGTTTACTTCTTATGTACATTTGTATACTCAAAATAAGGTAGTAATGAATCATTACCATGCGGAATGACTATGTATCTCTACCACCTCGGTTACGAACGATATGTCGTAGAACTGGTAATAATAAGTTCAGGGAAATTCAAATTTAATACATAGTGGTATTGATTCATTACTAGGTACCTTATTTTGAGCGTATGTCATGCCACAATTTAAATATACGATCACAATTATTAAGTAGCGTTCACCTCAAACAAAAACAACGATGTTGTACATATGTACATATGTATTTAAATAATTTAACATTTAGCGTGCATTTCCTTAAAGAAGGGAAACAGTATTTTTAAGAGTTAAAAGTTGATTTCGTTAAAAATTCAAATACGATTATGTTCAACAACAAAAGAATCAAAATATCATTCATTGCGTGCATTTTGTAATCTAAATTAGATAAAAATAATTTATCAAAATATAATTGGATCAAAATCCGTAGGTTTTATTATTATTTTATTTGTTTAATTCAAATTTTTGAATTTAGATATGTATGTATTTCTGAATTGTTTAACTTAGTTAATCAGTACGTTTAAATTAATTTTTATTAAATTTGGTAGTGTACCTACCACTTTTGAAGTTGACATTTTAAACATTTACTATTTCTACGGTTGCGAACAAAGATGCGTAATTATTTCATGCATTGCGTTTCCATTAACAGAATTATTGAATATGCTCGCGGATCATTCATTGTCTTAAGAATCAGCTCCACATTCGATTTTTTCATAGTTTACTTTCTCATTATTACCACAAACCACATCATTTGTCTCACACAGAATTCCTGTACTACCAACGGTGTCAACACTTCGACAAAGTTGTTACCAAACATTAACCTCAGCGGGGCCAAAGATTTGTGAATCTTTTTCTCACATTTCTTCGTATTCTTCCCTTTGCACGAATCGATCTACTCTTGGCTCGTCGTGTTCACCTTCGCCGCAGCAGAAAAAGTCTGCAGGGTAAACGCCAAGTTTAAAAGATACACCAGCAAGAACATAGCCGTTATGGGGGCATCGACCTGTGCAAAAAATATTACTTCATTCAAAATTCATTCATTTAAAAATCGAAAAGCGATATTAATTCATTAATCATTCATTCAAAATTTGAATAGAGAAATGTTTTATCTCAAATCTAGATCAAACAAAATAAAATACGGATCTCTCTATCTACCCCATATCTTAAGCATAGGGTGGAAAATGAATAATGAATAAAATTATACAACCCTCCTTCGTGAATATAAAATGAATAAATATTTATTCAATATTTATTCATTAAAAAATTTCGAAACTTGTTTTCACTCGTTATTAATGGATTAATTGAATAAATAATAAATGAATATTTAATTGATTCATTCTCCTGTTAAAGAACTGAATATGAATGACGACCTGATTCGACCGGTACATCGTGATGACCGCGAACGATTAGAAAAGTTGCAACGACGGAGTGAGGAGTGCCGTCTTCAAAAAAATGCTGTTTCGCGTACAAGCATTCAAGATCTTTTCGAACATTTGCACTTTCCTGTACTCAATTTGATGAGTTAACCCTGCTTCAAAGTTCCGAATAAACGTTCCACACTCGATCCACAGAAATGTCACCCCGGTTAAGAGCACGGACAAAATGTAGTACATTCCACCAAGGCCGACCTGTATGATCAAATTTTTCTAATTAATTGCGTAGCTAATTAAATAACATATTGGAATAAATTATTAATTAATTACGAATTAATTATTAATTTGATGACGAATTAATCAGAAAATCATTACAAATCAGAAGTGGTTAATTTTATAGTCGACTAGCTGTTTAATTTGCTTCAACAGTGATATTAGCATACTTACTAATGATCACTTTATTAGAAAAACCTTTCACTTCTAATCACCAATTACTAAATAATTAATTTGAAACGTGCGTAATTATGTATAAAGCTCTACCTGCATGTAGACGATAAACTCCAGAAACGCGAAGGGGATGAGGACCCCCGGGGAAAATGCAAGGACTAATTCCTCAGTACAGATTAGCGAGCTGACCAACCCAGGTTGACAGGGCAGCAATACAGATAGGAGGCCGTAGATCGAAGCCATTGTAAAGCATCCAAAAGCCACTAGGTCCATAAAGACGCGGAGGCAGGTTAAAAACATCTTCTCCTTCGGAGTGTAGGCCAGGTCTGGAGGACAAATTGCAAATTTCTAATACACCCATTGTACATATGTAGAATTCCACACTACTCCATACCTGTTCACTTTCATTCATTTGACTGACGATGATGAAATTAAATGAATCTGCCATTTGAATGAAAATGAGTGGGCATTTATTTACACAAATTTGTGTAAATAAATGCCAAAAAATGATTTTGCATTTATGCAAAATCATTTTGTTCTCATGGTGAGGCAAAAGTTGGTAAATATTACCTTTCTAAATTTGCTCGATGCTCTTGTTTTAAAGTTTTTAGTCACACCCTAACCGAAGAATGCTATTCTTTAAATGTAGTTTTATTATTCCGTGAAAACTTACCTTTCGTCGAAAAGACGAAATTCAGAAATTGCACTGGTAAATAATCCGCCGATATTTCGAATCGTAACAGAAATGCGATCGTCGTCAGTGACGTTATCGCGATACCGATGACAGTCTCGATTAGACTGGTCGCCTTGGTAACGACCGACCAGATCCGGGCGGCGATAACGGCCAATTGCAAAATTGTCCCGGCATGAACAATTTTAGATTTATTCTTCCCGATTAACCTAATTTTGCCCAGTTTCTCGTCCCAAGTTACGAACGTGGTAAGAAAATAATCACCAAGATTAAGGTGGTGTTTGATACAGCGTAAAATTGCAATTTTACTCATTTTTGTATATTTTTAGTCAGAATTAAAGTCAAGGTTCACGGGTTGGTTGGTGGCGACCAAGTGAAATATGTTGATCAATCAATCAATTATCATTTGAGGTGAAGTCCACTTAATAATTTGCATAATGATGGCAGATTAAACAAGGAAATCGTGACATGCACTGTTAGAAATCTGGTATAGTTACGCAGTGCTTGATTTGTGGATTTTAGATTTGTTACTAGTTATTTATGCAAATTATACTCGTCCGTAAAAACTTCCGGACGGATATGGTAAAACTTTAATATCAAGATGTTCCTTACACTCGAAATAAAGTAGTAATGAATCAATACCATGCGGAACGACTATGTGCCTCTACCACGTGGGATACGATTTGTCGTATGTAGAAATGGTAAAAATAAGTTCAGGGAAATTCAAATTTAATACATAATGATATTCACTTCCTTAATATTTGGTAATGAATTTGAATTTCCCTGAAATTATTATTACCATTTCTACGACAAATTGTAACCGACGTGGTAGAAACACATAGTCATTCCGCATGGTAATGATTCATTACTACCTTATTTTGAGTGTATCATTGCCAATTTGCTAGAGTCATATATACTTACACACATATATACATGAATATCGTTAGGCTGGGTATTAAATATTTTAATACTGGATTTCTACGAGTGCATGCATATAATTTAACCGGAAATAATCAACGCGTAGCTATTGCATAAATAATAAATGTTTATCTACTAAATAAGTACCGTCCGAAAGTTGTATTTTACCCGGTATTTAAATATTTAATTTAATAAACACTTGTAGAAATATGAATATATGTAGCCTTGAAACACAGATAAACGACTGACAAGGGACACTCACGACCTGTCGTTTGAGTCCAGGGTACCCACTATGTTTTTTAAAATCTACTAGGACCCCAGATGAAGGATTCATTCATATTTCCGTGTAAAACTCATATTTGGCGACGTGGCGTGGCGCCGATATATATTTCTTTAGGCCATTACATTTACAGAAAACCAACTCAAACATCCCAATATCTCAATTTCCGGTCATTCCACCCTCGTGCTCACAAGATTGGTGTCATCGACACACTACTTACCAGAGCCATCCGACTTTCAGACGTGGAACACCTTGATGATGAAATCAAACTTACCAAAATCATACTAGAGAAAAATGATTATCCTTCATCTCTTATTAATAACCGTCTGACCAGGGTGCGGATAAAATGTCAACAAGATCAACGGGAAAAAACGGTTGACATACAGAAAAGGATCATTCTTCCGTGGGCTGGAGATGTAACGTCAAAAATTGCATCCTACTTACGAAAAACTATGGACGTGGAAATAGGATATTATCCCGGACCGAAACTGGGTTCAATTTTATGTAATGCTAAGCAGAAGCTGAACAGACCAAGAGCTGGAGTGTACCAAATCAAATGCAACTCTTGTCCAGATGTGTACATTGGTGAGACCGAACGAGACTTTTTGATAAGAATTAATGAACACCAAAACGATATTAGAAGAGCCAGTATAACTTCTCCTGTTGCACTACACATGCTGGAAAACAATCACGAATTAGACACAACATCCTTCCGTCTCATAGTTCCTGAACACCGGAAATTCTTTCGCAAATTTAAAGAATCCCTCTACATAAAGAAAATGGACAACAAAATGAACGTTTCCAAAGGCATTAACATCAACCCGATATGGTGCGCAACACTATTAAATTTTTTATAAATTACGTCCAGTAATCAAGTAGCAAAATGTATAACAGATTATCATATTTTTAAAAATAAGCAATGATTGTGATTTCCAAAATCTTTGTACATGCCTGATGAAGATGACTGTGGGTCACTGAAAGCTAGCAATTTTTCAATAAATCAAGTATTATCCTCGAAAACCGCAGAGATGTCTACTAATAAATATTTTGAGTTCCTTAAATTTCTTAATTTCGAATCAACATGTGCATCTTATGTAATTCCATTAATAAATTATCTACATATTCCAGCTTCAAAAATGCATCACTTTCGTGTATGTTATGGTGTTAAAACGTTGCTTACTTTCATACTTTTACCAATTTCAGTGTTTGCAATATTTGCAAACCATGTTCAACCCTGTTGATTTTTAGCAAAATCAGTTTGTAAGATCTACATACCCTTTACATACACTCAAAATAAAAATTTGTCGAATCAACACCGCCGGTGTCAATATATGACTTAACCACCTTGGTTACAATGTTGAATCCGAGTTTTGATGATTTTGATACCGGTAGTATAATGTTATGACCGGACGGAAAAAATTCATTACTACTCGGAATCACAATTGTAACCAAGGCGGTTAAGTCATATATTGACACCGTTTTGTTTTGAGTGTAGAAATGCCATTTAGGAAGTGCGGTAATTTTGCATATGTATCTGCAAAATTGACTCTTACGGGCGCCCAAAGTTTCGCGAAAATGCTCGGTTCTCAGGCGATCAGAATTCTGCATAAAAACATGTATATATACATGTAAATATGTACAAAAAGGTGCGTGGACATACATACATATACATACCTATATGTGAATATGTAGCTCACAGTGACGACTGCGAAGGCTGGGGGGACATGTGGGGACATTAGCATTGAGAGATAGAAGGAGGAGTGGCATAAGGGTACAGGGAAGATAGCATTTTTCTGGATTCTTTGGTAGACAATATCCCCTGCTTTCGCCTCCACTCGTAATTGTTAGTAGAATAAGGTTATTTGTATATTTTAGAAAAATATTTTTATTTGCTTGGAAAGAAACCGTGATCAATTTATGTATGTATGTGCTTATTCAGGGAACCTGCCATTCAACACTGTAGAGACCAGTTAGCCGTTGATGTTGGGAATGGCGATGTTAGGAATGGCGTAATTAGGTCCGGTATAGCCAGGTGGGCAGAAGAAGTTAAACAGCATGCAGTATATTGGGATCATCGTGGCGTTTCGATTACCGGTGATCGGCACATTGTTAAAGTACAGCCTTTCCTCTGGATTCGTGGGGGTAGCCTGGTACTACAAAGAAATTTACCGAATTACGTACACTCTAAATAACTTGGGGACAAATCGTCACCTGTGGTAGTACTATGTAGATTTACATAGTGCCCTGTTTTTGGATAATTATTAACGACACTTTTTTCTCACTAAAAAAGAATAAGACACGTTCCAAACAGTTGTGATGATGTCACTAACAATTAAATATTTAGTTTCATGAAAAAATCGTAAATATGCATAGTCCAATACTAAAAATGCGAAATGTTGTCTAAATAACGACGTCACGTGTAGAGCGGTCGCCCCGGGAAGTGTTGATGGGGGATTTTGACCTCAAAATGGTCAAAAAATGGTTCTACAAATCTCAAATTTTGACATAATATGTTAAATACATTTGACGTTATATATCCGCGAACAAAGGAGACTTTAATCCATTATCTACTTCGTATTTAGTCTTTTTAGTCGCGTCCGCCAATAATACATTTCCAGAAGACTTCTCAACTTCATCGTTAATTTTTTCCTAGCAGAACCAAAATTTTCTTAAAATATCGACTGTTTCACAAAGCAGGGAGTATTACTTCTTACATAAAGTCCAAAATATTTCGGTGGGGCGAAGATAAGGGAAATTAGGAGGGTTTTCATTTTTCAAAATCAAACCGCCATATGATCACCATGCATTTTGACGGCAGCCAAATCGGAAATTTCGTGAGAAATTTTTAAAAACATTTTAATTTCTCTTCGGTTTTCATTTCATAGATATATTTGCCATGAAAAATTCTTTTCCCGGATCTTTGACCTTTTGGCCGCATCGGGCATGGACGTGGAGCGACATTTTCCGAAAATAAATTCAATCGTTTTTAACTTTCAAGGGGTCATTATGAAGGTTTTTTCTCATGGTGCGTATTTGAGGTAGACATTTTTGGATTCTCCATACTTTTTTATGTAAGTCTTAATTTTGTCACGGCCACCACATTCTCCATTCAAATTTAATCAAGCCTTCTTCGAGTCTTCGTCCCGCAGATTTTGGTACTTAAAAAATGCGTTTCCCGACTTCCTCGCTTTAAATTGACGCAGGAAATTTGTCTTTCGAGGAAAACTTCTGAAATTTTTGGGGCACGGAGATAGATATGTTGACAATATTATACGAAAAAAGCAGATCTCTAAAATTATTTCGTTCTACCCTGCTACTAATTACAATCTCATCAACACTTCCCGGGGCGACCCCTCTATTTGGTGCACGTGCTTGGGACCTATTTTCCACTATGGACAAAACGTCTCGTTAATCATTACCCAAAAGTAGACCACTACTTATGTATTATACCACCGCGGATCACGATTTGTCTCTAGATTATTTAGAGTGTAGGTTAATAGGTTAGAGACAATAATGCTTGTGAGGAATGATGCAGTGAATTTTTAAATTCTTACCCCAGCAATTAAAAGTGCAGCAAGGGCAAGATAGTAGACAAACATGTTTGATTTTTTTGTGGATTTTTTTGGAAACTTTGACTTCTAGGGATCTATGTATGTGTATATAGAGAAGGACTGATGCTGAGTTAATTTCGTTTGTTGAGAGCTGCACATTTTTATACCCGTTGAACTATCGTCATCCTTAACCGCAACCTGTGCGCAGAGTTGACTTAATTTGGGTAGTTGAGTCAACATTGTTTTTGAAGTTTGTTAGGATACTTCTGCCGGATATTTGTACATATTTACACTGTTAAAATATGGTAGAGTGACATATATTTACACTTCGAACTTGCATCGAGTTGGTAATAACTTCATACCCGATTGGTAATAAATGTTTCCTCGTTAACACATTACTTACATAATAAACGATAATGTTCGTTAAATAACGTTACTAGTTTTCGTATGATTGTAAATTTGTTCCAACTTGCAAATTTTTCGCAATAGACAGACTATTAAAATTCATGGCAAATTAATGGTCCTGTATTTATAGGTTGAAAAGTTTTATTACAGAAGTTTTGGGTTATGTACATGGGTTATGTATGTTATGTATTTAACAAAATTATGACAAGTGAAATATGACTGATCTGTACATATTACCTGGTGAAATGAATCATTTCAAATGATTGCTTATTTAATAATACATATCCCCCCAAGATAAATTTTGTTTCAGACGAAAAATTTACAGACATATGTGACATTTACATACAACGTTCGCATTTCTTTTATTACAAAGCTGCATTCAATATAACCACGGTTGTGGGATTCGCACGTTTTCTCGTGCCAACTACTTAACTAATTCATCATCTATACCTCCTTTCAACTTCAAACAATGAATTTATCACGCTCACATCACCATATAATTCAAGAACCTTGGCCTTGCAGTTTACTAATGTCGCGGCAAGTGATTTTCGATCGACCCTTATTTTTTCCACACACTCCACATTTTTCAGGATAACATCGCTCCCTGCAATCCAGACTGAGTCACATTTACAGTTTTTTGCAGTGGACTTGCCCGAAGCAATATGCAGATTGAAGCCCGAAGGCTGTAATGCACCTGAGCAGCTGACGATGAGATGTTCAACATGGTTAAACTCGCCTCCCCTTAAAATCATCCCGACCATCGATTCTTCATATTTACCCTTGGTTTTCAGCACAACCTTGGAAAACTTATTTCTGTTGCCATAACATTCAATTCTATACACGTTGTTTCCGGTCACGTTCGAAACGATATTATCGTTTGAATATTCAGAAATAAAAATTCCACTATATTTAATATTCTCAAGCTGCAGATTATCTATGACGATACTGCTTCCCCGCATTATGGCATAACCACTGTTTGAGTCGGACAATGTCATCTTTTCAAACTTATGATTGCTACCGGATGTAAGAAGGCAAATATTTCCACCAGAAAGTGTTAATTCACGAAACCAATGCCCATCGCCGGTCACGCGCAAACAATTACGTTTCGCATTTTTTTCGAGCTGTACAATTCGTATGTTTTCAATTTTGTGATCAGATCCACTAACGATGACATTCTTTCCAGCATTTAATTCAATAGTAGTTTCGTCATTTCCCATAATTGTGAGGTTGTTTCCTCGAATAGAAAAGCTACCATGATAAACTTTTGCAATCAACGTGACTTTCGACCCAGGTATCGCATATCGCAAAAATGCACGAAGTTCCTCCTCGTTCTTTGCAGTGGTATTAAGATAAAACTTCAATTCCACTAACTCAATTTTTTTAATTTTTTGAGTATTTTCGAAAATTTCCTGACCAGGGTATGCCTTCGAAAGAATCAAAATTTCAAAAAAATTGAGTTAGCTATTGGATATGATAAACCAACTATCTAAGATCACAAAAACGCTTAAATTATGAAAATCCGATCAAAATTGGATTTTTGGTGATTTTTTGAATGAACGAAAACAGGGTATTTTTCGTGTTTTTCACACCTTTGAGTGGGTGTGGCGGGCGCAAATGGGGCCATTGAATGAAATCCTTCTTCACTTTTGCTAGACTCACCTAGGACTACAACATATCCAAAGGGCATCAAGATCTGCGATTCTGTCGGTGAAGGGTTGTCCTCCTTAGTGAATTTTTTGTTGCTAAGTATTTGCCTCACTAAGAAAAATATCAATGGCTTTCTACATACTATGCATAGTACATATTTATGCGTAAATGCCAACCCTCCACGGCATTGTTAGTAGTGCGTGCAAATATAGTCATTCTTGCAGTTGTTTTTTTGGTACAAGTAGCTTTTCAGTGGAGATTGGTGTGTATGTGGGTGTGGAGTGCAATTCCAGTGATTGTAGAATGCTAGGAAAGAAGGAATGAAATGAATTTTGGTCCTTTTAAAGCTTAAAATATAATTATCCCTAATAGAATTATCCCTGAGTTTCATTATACCAAATGGTTCCCTTAAATTATACCAACAATACAGAGGGGTGGGACAGAAGAAGGAGCCACTTTGCCTAAATTTATTCCGGCCTTAATATTCGTTTGTGAAGTTTGGTAATTGGTTCAGTGTGAAGCCCTTTAGTTTATCTAACGAGCCTCAGTCGCTTTTTCCAACCAGTCATGACCTTTGACACAATTTTCAGAGTGATTCTGCACCACTCGTCCTGAACACTTTTCCAAAGTGCATCAAAACGCACGCGTTTTCCTTTCAAGAAGGCTCTGTTTTAAGTACTCGAATTCAAAAAAAAACATCGGATTGATATCAGAGGAACTAACGAGAGTTTCTATAGTAGGAATAATTGTTATACCCAAACTTTTTTTAAAATCCTTCGTGTAGGCTGCTATTTTGTGAGAAATAAGTTGGGTTGCGAGCATGATCTCGGGATTTCCTACGAGTCACTTGCTGTAGGTCATTGTGAATGACTCTAGAAATGTTCTCCTACTAACGTTTAACATTTTCTCCATGCAACTTTTAGTTGGTGGATTTACCGTTTTGGCGAAAAATTGATTTTCCGGATAAACTTTTTGGTTCAAGCGGATCTTGGGTATCCTTTCCGTGGGGGTGGAGCTCTAACCACTTTTTCCCTCCGCTTGATTCCAACGTTTTTAAGTACATTAGAAACGTACTTTCGATCGACAATAAATCCATTTGCAGCAAATTTTCTAACAATCGCTCTCTGGCTCAGTATGTCTTTGGAAAACACTTTTATGCGTGCCTCGCACTCTGGGGGGTGCTGCAGGGGCATTTTTAACCGTAGGGAAAATCTGAATAGTGCTAAATTTTCGTTAACTATCTGGGTATGACATATGCAAATTTTGAAAATGCCGCGACTGTGCATCACACGCCACCCCTAAAATTCAAGTGGCTCCTTCTTCTGTCCCACCCCTGTATTATACCAAATTGTCGTTATACTAAAAAAATTATGCAATTCGACCGCACACCGGTACCGTGGCCAACGCCCATGAATGAAAGCATATTATTATAGAGATTACATTGGATTGCGTGCTGCAATTTGTAGCGTACATATTTAAATACAAATCTTTTTATAGGTAAATATACTAACAAATGTATTTTAGGAACTCACCTGTTCAAACCAAATCAATCCGTCGTAATGAATGTTGCTACCCAAGTTCTTTAGTTGACCGTTTATACTTAATTCCAACAGAATTTCAACCGCAATAAATACTCAATATTTATCACATTATACAAAATACGTATGCGTAAAGCCTTCTTTAAAGCGTTTGTAAAGTTAAAAAATAAATTTCCTCTGCTTGGTTATGAATGGAGCTCGAGTGCAATAAATGAGAAGCAAAAATGGTGGTCGTTATTGGCTACGTGGACAACATTATGAGCGATGAGCCCAAGTTCACTGCGCAAATACTTATCTATTACACATTGATTTATAAAACCTGACAAGATATGATGCATGAAGTACTGCGTAGTTTTTATATCTTGAATACAATTCAAACAGCAAATTGATCTGGTGCAAGTGGCACTGGCCTGATTATTAGGTGACGCGTCAAATTGACCCAGGCATATTGACCCACGACAAATTGACCCGCACATATTGACCCAGCGACAGATTGACCCAATACCATATTGACCCAGCGACAGATTGACCCAATCTCATATTGACCCAGCGACAGATTGACCCAATCTCATATTGACCCAGGGACAGATTGACCCAATACCATATTGACCCAAGTCATATTGACCCATGCTATACCTGGACATAATTATTGGTCCTCTTTTTCTTATGTGAGGCTGACGTTAAAAATTCTACCACAGGGGCGCCGTCGCAATCTTGCCCCAGGAGCAAAGGCTGAAGTGTTTTAATTGTATGACCACATTTGCGCCCGCCACACCCACTCAATGGGGGCAAAAATTAAGAAAATATCGTCAAACGGTTGACAAAAATTCAATTTTGTTCAGATTTTGAAGATTACCTCACAGTGTAGGCTTTCATCAATACATCAAATTAGCCTCACATAAGAAAAAGAATTAGAGCAATTCAATTTTTAGCCCGAGTCAGGGCTTATGGAACCGTCATGTTCATCGGTCTGTCTGTCCGGCACGATAGATCCAAAACGGCTGAACCGATTGAATTGAAATTTTTACCATATGCATATTGGACAAAGTTAGGAAACGAGATCGAAGATGGGCGAAATCGGTCCAGTGGTTGACCGGTGGGGGTCATCGGAGTGGGTGGGGTATTACACACCAAAATTTCAAAATTGTTGTAGAGAGCTGAAATTTCGTACCGAGGGTTGCTAATGGCTCCTACTAGATAAAAATGACTTCAAGTTGGAAAAATTTCATCTTGAGTGACCCTATGGGGTGACCCATACCGATTTTTAAAAATCATCATATCCAACTTAAATTTGGTGGAGAGGGTCAATATGACTTGGGTCAATATGGTGCCGGGTCAATCTGTCGCTGGGTCAATATGTGCGGGTCAATTTGTCGTGGGTCAATGTGACTGGGTCAATTTGACATGCAATCGATTATTATGTCCGCAATGATGCTAACATAATTTCGGACATTTTTTGTATATTAACAATTGAACCTTTTTTCAAAACACATCCAAATCTTCGCGGTGATGTGTTTTAAAAATTTTTTAATGCATGTGGCAACATATGTATATGTGTCGCAAAGTTATAATGTTTCTCACCTAGTGGTGGTAAAATTAGCTAGGAAAATTTGTTACTACAAATATACGGCCACAATTTATCACCGGGTGGTAAAAATTTACTACTATGCGTAACATCAACGTTAGCACCGTTCACTTACCTAGGTATGCACGTTGTGTGGTGATAATTTGCACACCATTTTTTGCACATTGTACTCATATGAATATATGCGTCATATTTCTACCGTTGAGCCGTATTTTATATATTTATTACGTGTCTTTAATGTATTTGTGACATTTGTCTAACTCTAACGCTGAATGTATTTTATTGCTTAATAATTTATGTGATCAGCTTTATTCCTTTTGTGTTGTATTTTTAAGCGATATATGTAAAATTTTGCGACAAAGTTCTGGACGAGTTTTTTCATAAATATCGAACAAATAAAAACACATCTACGTACGAAGTAGGGGGGTCCTCTCGTTAACAGCAGTTCTGCAAAGGGGACAATTTCGTGATGTGGATAACCATTCTCTTATACAGTTCGCATGGAAGACTGAAAAAAGCAAAAAATAAACGAGGAAAAATTAGATTCTTTCATATTGTCATTACACTCTTAAAAATTGCCTGACCGTTTTGAAGAGTAAATGAGCTCTTAAATTTATATTAAATATACCACACCAAACTTTACACGTTATCAAATCGCCTTTAATCATGGAGGTCTACCAACGTATGCTCAAAGATTTGGACCAAACTAGTGTCAATCGATCACAAATATAATTAGTGCGAAATTTGCTAATGGAACAATCTGCCAATGCGCAGGTTTGGCGGAGATATTTGCATCCAAAGCGGAAAAAATGCGTAGCAAATTTGGAAAACGAAAAATTTTTCAGCCTTGAAGGTGCATTTTCTCCTCTTTTAAGGGAAATATCTCCGCTAAACTTGAGCAATGGCAGATACATAGTGCCATTTGCAAATTTCATGCAAATTATATTTGTGATGGATTGAGACTAGTTTGGTCCAAATCTCAGACGTTGGGAGACCCCCATTCTTAGTATAGTTTACGGAATTAATTACTCCTGCTTTACATTGAGTATACTTTACAGCGAATGTTGAATTAAGACATCATTTACGCCTCAAAATGATAACATAATTTTTAAGAGTGTATCCCGAAATCAAGCAGACTATTTATTTATTTAACTTACTATGCCTGCACTGTAGAACGCGCGTATTGACACTTTGAACTGTGCAATCTTCCAAACAAATGCTGCACGTTTTTTGAGGGTCACTTTGACTTATAAGGATACGCACTTTCCTCCATCTGCTAATGCACGTCGTCGAGATACTTTCACACCCCTTTCTGATCTGTTGAAGGACATATGTAGCAAAAAAATTCAATTATACTCTAATAAATTTTGAAAAATTAAATTCACTCTGAATTCAGTATTAAGTATTAAGGAAACTAAATTTGACTCTTCATAAAATTATCGCTTTGAATTTAGCAAAATAAAATTCAGAGTGCATTAAATTTTCAATAAGTTTTTTTTAGGGTGGATGCTCACTTTTGTTACATACTGTAATTTGAAAAATTTGAATTAGTTCTTACCTTCACGGATGTCGCAACCCCCATCTTGACGACCCATACTGGAGAATAGAAAATGAATTCTAAAACCTGCAAGATGTTAGAGGAATCATGATAAAATTCTTATTTGAAGGGAACGCCCATAATTTACGTCATCGGAAAATTTGTACAGCGGTTGGCTAATTTTAACATTTTAGTTATGTATGTCACCCTCTTTGTTTATCCAACCTTGAGTAAATTTTACTTATTTTGTTTAGAGTGTATTAATCATTAATATGTATGTATGTATGTAATATGTATGTCACTTTGGTGGCATCGTACTAACCTGTATAAATACATTATTTTAATACTGGATTTCTAAAAGTTTAACTTTGTACATTTTGTATGTATGTAAATATATTCATATTGTACGAGTAGTTATCAAATTTTATGAAGTGACATGAACTTATAAAATATCTACTCACCACGATTACACAGCGCATAAGAATTTTCAGAATCTAAATAAAATGGAAAATATGTCAAAAGAATCTTCATTTTATATATTTATATGTAAATATGTATACTCTTAAAAAATTTCAAAATTTGAAAAATACATAACCGTACTTTGAATTGTATATCAGGTGTTTGTAAACCATACTAAATCCATGATAAGGTGTAAATTGTACGCTGGATGAGCATATTTAGTTTATTTCATACAGAATTCAGAACATATTAATGTTCTCACTTTTCAAATTGTTACATTATTTTTAACCTCTTTAGGACTACTAATCTTTAAATAAAATTTCCCTTCGGTACGATTTTTTTTAAATAATGATACCTTATAGCAACCAATTAAAATTTCCTACCACTTTGCAAAACTCGAGTTTTTGACGAAAAACACGAAAAGTCCACTTTTTAACATTGGTAGGTATAGGGAAAATTCCAAAATTTTGGGAGAAAAATGTCGAAAAAAATCCACTTTTCCCCATCGAGTTTTCCACAAAATACCGAAGAAATTTTCTTTTTTTAAAAAAAGACTTTAGTGTCACGGAAATTTTTGCAGTACACACATTTGTGTTTTCGTCGTCAACGGATAAATAAATACTACACAAATGTGTGTACTTCGTCGTTAAGAGGTTAAGAGTGTACATATCCATTGTGTTAATGGTGCAAATAGTCAGCTTACTCATACCAAGCACAAAATGGGAATTAGACACGCCAAAAGGTACAAAGCCAGGAGAAATGCAATCCCACCGGCAACAACGAGGATACAAATTCCCCCTGTTAATCCCACCCAGTCGAAAAGCTTTTCAAAAATATTGGACGGAATTGTATCCTCGAAACGAACCGTATATCTGTAAAAAAAATATGGATAAATAATCCTAATTAGCCCTCAATTACAGGGTGTTAATAAAGTCCGATCCCATTTTTCCTGTAAAAAAGTGAAGGCTAGTATAAAAAAAAACTACCCGTGATACTTACAAAAAATGTTCGACATATTTACCTTAGTATTTGGTCTTGTTACCATTTACTTTAACCATGCCCTCAACTCTTTGTTTAAGGCTCTGTGCTAATTTTTCCAATGTGCCTCTGGAAATCGAATTCCATACATCTTGAACTTTTTTTACTAGCTCTTCCCTCGTCCGGGGTTGTGGCTCTTTGTATACATTTTCCTTAAGTATGGACCACTGGTTCTTCAGGGGATTCAAATCTGGGCCGTTAGCGGCCCACACCCCCTTGCTCCAGACCGTTGAAACTTGCGTCTTGATGAGACTCAAACTCGCTTTTGCTGTATGGGCTATAGCACCATCCTGCATGAAAACTATTTTTCTTTCATTCGGAAATATTTCCTTGTTCCCCATGCTATCGAAATAGATAGGTAATATTTTTTCCATATAATGCTTTGCATTGACTGATTTGCCTTTTGGTATGATATGTAGAGGGGTCACGCAACGTGCACAAAATCCACCCGCTACCATAACTTTAAGCCCGAATTTTGGGATCGCTCTTGATGGTACATCCGATTTGTTTTCTGTCCTGTAACGAACATTTTGTTGGTTCAATTTTGGATATAGTTCAATAATAGATTCGTCAGTCCAAAGGATGTGACTGCGCAATTCTTCACCAAGTCTTTTTTCACTCAAATGGGCACTTTTCTGAAGGAGTTCTTCAAATTTCAGACGGTCATCGATATATTTTTGTGACATGAGAGGTTTTTTTGGTTAGTTTGTAAGCTGTGTGACCCCACTTCGTAGTTTTCACAAATTTTTGCACGGTCACACAGTTAATTTGCTTCTTCTTCTCTTTATAGCGTTTTGAGTCATTTAACTCCCTTGCTCAATTACGTAATGAACTACCGGTTTTCTTGCAAAGTCTGTTTTTAATCATTCTTTTTGTGGTAGGTGACACCTTTCTGGGTCGCCCTGGTCGCTTTTTGTCGTGGACAAAATTTTTATTCTTCCATTTCCAAACAGTTCTGCGGCTGCAGCCCAATTTTTGCACAATTTCTGTAGGTTTAAGCCCCTGCTGATGCAATGTTTGTATCTCAACTCTAAGATGCTCATGACTTACACGTTTAGTTGTTCCTCCCATGGTAAAAATTTGAAATAAATAACTTCACTGGTTCAAAAGTTCCAGCTGAATTTGTAACAACCACGCTCCAAAAAATGCATGGGATCGGACTTTATTAACACCCTTTAGTAAGTATTTTACACAAACACTTAAAAATAATGTAGCGCTTTTGAAATTTAATGTAAATACCCTGAATTCTTTATTAAGTAAACTATGTATGCTAAAAAAATGCAGAATAAGGTTACCTTGACGTTGTAACTGCACTCTTATGAATTGGGTTACGATTATAACCAAAAGGTGAACATGTGTGACTCTACCAGCATGGTTATAAATTTGTCATCGAGTGGATACAATTGAAAGTTTCACCGACTGGGTATTGAATTGTCACCAGAGCTAATAAATTTATATATACCCAGTTTGTGACAAATTCATAACCACGGCGGTAGAGTCATATATATACGTTTAAATACATTTTGGTAATAATCGTAACCTAATTTATAAGAGTGTACATAACGTAAAGTTGGCTCTGGATTTAGGATAGGAACGAAAACCATGTTCAACCCAGATTATTTATTGACCAGCTCCGCATACAAGACTAACCCTTTAGAAATAACGTTTAATGGGGAACAGATGCGACAATTTCGGCAAGTTGTGAGCGCCAAGAACCCGAAATGGCTGAAAAATGGTGTATTTTCTACTCAACTCGCGCAAAAACTTGCTGAATTTTTCGCATCTGTGCAACTTCCACACAAAACGTTGTTTCTAAATAGTTGATCTTACAAGCTGTTGTTGTCAAGAAATCTGGGTTGAACATGGTTTGCGTCCCTATCGTAATTCCTGAGTAAACTTTACGTTTACTTTACTCTGCATTTACATACATATTTCGCATAATTTACGTACACATGTAAGTAATTGAATTCAGACTGGAATTTACTTTCCCCAAGGGTACCATTTGTGGGGAACGACTTTCCAAGTCATAGTGAGAGGTGGATTTGGCAAAAATTGTAATGCCCCTGCCGGGTTTCGACTACCGGACTTCCCGATTACATGTCAGGCGTGCTAACCATTACACTACGAAGGCATTGGCAATTCCTACCCACAATCCACCTTCTCTCTATCCCACTTCGTATTTATTCTCTCACACATTATTTTTAAGAGTGTAAAATTTATGTACATACGTTTTCTCATTTGCGAGGGGGCTTCCTATGATTTTCGTAATTGCGTCACCATCTTCGTTGGAAAGAATGCATGGATAAATTTTATATGGCCAAGGTTGTCCAGCGCCATAATTTTTATTCTCGTCTTCCCCACTCCCCCTTAGCTCGGTAAGTATGGCGGCATCGTATTTTGAAAATTCGGCTGCCACGATTTGCCCAATTACCGGACAGTTTTTGTCAAATGGTGTAAAGACTGCGGTCAAATTGAACCCTTGTATTGCAAGATCGGCATTATAACAGGATCGAGTTGTTATGTTGGACCGGGATAGTGGACCCTGTTTATAGCAGAATTAGGTAGATACACTCTTAGAAATGAGGGAACGATTATGTATAACCAAAAAGTTAACGTATATCGTGTGACCCTACCGTCGTGGTTATAAATTTGTCATCGAGTGGTTACAATTGTTACCTACTAACTGTAAAATTTCACCGACTTGGTATTAAATTATCACCAGAGCTAATAAATTTATAACTAGTTGGTGACAAATTCAGTAGAGTTATATACATTTACATTTTGGTAATAATCGTATGTAACTCCATTTCTAAGAGTGTAAGATATATGTATAAGAAGAATAACAATGTGAAGTTATAAAATAATTTGGAAACAAATCGTTACCACGAGGCTAAAAATGCTATACTTTGATGTGAAAATTTTTTATCAAAAAAATAAAAATTTTCAAGTTTTTTTTAAACAACGACGTCACGTCTCTTTTGGTTTTCTTATCTAAATATTTGCATTTATGTAGTGACAAAACTCTTGTTTGGTCATTACCCCAAAATAGAGGACACGATTACCTCCGCTGGGGACGATTTGTCTCCGCATTATTGAGACATAGTTTTTGAATATTTTGTTCATACCTCGCGCCCCAAAATTGCCGCTGTTTGATCGAAACTTAGAGACAAATTTAGCGGTAGCGTGCCTACACAACCCGCCGAGTAAACAATGCTATTTCCTGGATGTTCAACCACCCTGATCCCCACCATTCTCGAGATCACTGACATCATTTGACACTATAAGATTATCAAGATCCATGAGATGTGTGCATTAAAATGCATGATGAACTACTACACTCTGTATTTTACTTTAATTTAAATGATTTCCTTAAACATAATCCTGAATTTTTGGAATGAAAATCTCCAATTTTAGTGGTAAAATTTTCTTTGGGGACAGTTGACTGGATTTTATTCACATACTGCTAATAATAAAAATATGATAAATAAGTTATGTGTGTAAATATATGCTTAATAACGTTGTACATAGTCACTTTACAGCTGAGCTGTATACTTAGACATTTTTACTTGATTTATGTAATGTTGTGTGTCTTACTGATGCCAATAAGCTATTGGTAGGATAGGTTAGTTACGAATGTATGTATGCACTGTGTGAATGCTTGCCATTGAAGTTAGATTTTATGTGTACGAAAGTACATATAGTAAGTGAAGGGATGTCACATACAACATGCACCATCCCTTCGTCTCTCTCTCTTCTCCGTCTCCACATTCTCCTCACTCGCTTGTGGGGATATTCATCCCCACAAGCGAGCCCTACTTCCTCTACCTCACAGCTACGGACTCCTCCTGTGTGGCGACTCGTGGGATATCGACGCACAACGCCACCGACGTGACGTACCTGGCCCTTCGTCCAACCAACGCCAAAGACTTGGTGGACGCCCGCATCACCCCATACCATCCCAACGCCCACATAAGCTACAAGTAGCTTTTTACTACATGCATACATACATATATATTTGCATATCCTCGTACACATTTCAAAGAGAACAGGATATGAAAAAAGATATTGCTTAGTAATAAAGATATACGTGTATATGCAAATAGAATTAAATTAGTTCCTGTAGAAATTATGTTCGCATATATGTACATATGCATAATAGGCTGCAAATAAAGCATGTGAGATTTTCGGACAATTTTGATCACATAATTTCAAAATTCAAAACAATTCGGTCAGTTACACTTCACACCATCGCATTGTTGGCACGAGATTCTCTTAAAACTTTTTCATGCGTTTACATATTTGCATTTATTAGCTCACCCTGCGTAGCATGAGAGCTATTGAATTCCTCCTGTCCGTCTGTCTGTCTGTCCGTCCGTGTGTTCACGAGTTTTTTGCATCAATTGATGCTAATTAAAAATCCCCTTGACCATTATTGGATAAGTTCGGCGCACCATTGGTATCGAATAATCCGTGGCGTAAATGGTGCGAATTAATTGTGCAAGTACATCGAGATAGGACTATAATTATGGAATAAGTAGCACCATTAGTACCGAACAATTGGTTATTAAAAATGATGCGTAACAATTGGGCCCTTTATTTACCCCCAAAAATCAATGAGGCGTAACAATTGGACCATCTATTTCCCCCCAAAAATCTGTTCTATTTGTTCGATGTTTCTGCACCATTGACGCTAAAATATATAAATTTTATAATAAATAATTGGGAAAGGGGTGCCATACGCACCAATGATGCAGAATGTCGGGATAAGGAACCATACAATTTTTTCAAAATTTTCAAAATTATGTATCCCGTTGGTCGCTAATGTTCCACTAGTGGTGCAAACTATTTTCGTTTGTTTTTTATTTCTCCGTTTATATTACACCATTGGTGCAATAGTCTATGAGAGTTATAATCTATTTTGTCGCTTTATTCCGTACCTTTGGTGGAAAGTTATATGGAAATCAGTATGACAGGGTGAGCTACTTCTAACCGTTACTACGGTTTATTTATTTTATGAGTGAAGAAAAATGTAGGTTTTGCATAAATGATTTGCATAAATATGGTTTCCGGCTAGTTGTTCGGACAGAAATTTTTACAGAAATTGGATCTATTGATGAAATACATTGAAATTGAGCAACTTGATGGGAGTGGTTGCGGTAGCGTGAGAATGAAGCTACTTCTCTATGTGCGCTACGACGGTTTATTTTACATACGTTCAATATCCTGTGTCGATATGGTTTTTACTTGATATATATGTTCAGGTCATACATACATATTCAGTGATAAGTTATAAAAACAATCTTGAGTTGCGTCATTCTTGTTTTTTAATGAAATCTTCCCGACAGTCTGAGTTAATTTGAAAGTATTTGTCTACATTCATACATATTTCTGCGCTTATTTATATAAGAATAATGAAATATCGATTTTTTATTGATTTTCCTACATAATTTAAATGGAATGTCCACATATTACGTTAAAAAATGTGAGTAGGTGGTTTTGGGTCGTCTAATGTACTCGTATTAAGTTTAACATAAATAGGACATTGATGCGGTGGTCGCACATTTTGCACGTGGTGGTCACCATTTCAAAAGATGGGACAGGTTTACCCACCGCACACACGCGGCATCACCGATTTCAGACGGTCTTCTTTGTCCTGGGTTTGGCCAACCTGGCATGTCACGTGACCACAGATTCCATCCATGTTTACCGGTACAGCGGAGAGATCGAGAATGAGTGGAAATCAACCATGATGTGGTACTTCTTAATTGTGGGATGGCTCATATTTTGGGGGTCTTTAATCCTTTATTCGAGAGAGGATGAGGTTGCAGCCTTGATGGAGATGAATTGTCGTGTGGAACTGCTGGCTATAAGAGAAGGTAAGTTGACAATTTAAAAATATACACATACACTCAGATTTTCATAGTTTTTAAAGGAAAGATCTCAAGTTTATGAATGTTGCCCTCAAAAAAATTGGAACCCATAGAATGAATACATATGTTCATAGCTTTAAAAACCCAGAGCAATTCTATTAATCGTCTTGGTTACCACGAGTCAAAAATTTTAAAATAATAAATTGGCAAAGCTGAGACATGACGAAAAATGTATTGATTTTTACGGTCTTGGTTATGACCTTTAGGACTTCCGGAGTTCCTCGAGAACCAATTTTTAATAATTTTCTCTCACAATTTGCCTACAGGGGCTACTCGTTACGTCGAGTGGAAGTTCATTATCGTAATCTGGGCCGTGTACCTGGCATTGTTTACCCTACCGCCTGGAGCGTTCCTATTTTCATGGGCGTACCCCTGTCTCCCTCAAGCCGTCACATCGGTAATTCCCCAGTGTTCGAAGTGGGAATATGTGGGTGGACCTGTCCCAATCTGGATGAGGGTGACCGCTGGCCTGATGTCTGGTCACATGTGGTGGCTCCAGGCCGGCACGGTTATGACCGTGCTCACCCTAAATTCATATCCGGCCGGACTCTGCAAAATATATTTCGACGTGGTCATCAGGTAACTCGTTTATCCAAACAGGCTGTCTCAACTTGCCGCATTCAATTACATACATAATATATATGTAAATTATTTATGTAAATATTTACCGACACTCAAAATAATTTGTAAACAAACACCCGTCAGAGGTGTTGTTGTGCTCTATTACTTGTAATGATTAGGAATGAGTTCTACCACGATGGGAAAATAAGTAAATATAAAAATTGCATATCGAACAGAAATGATATCGTTATAACTTTTCGTCGTAACTTTTATACCGACCAAACTTTAGTCCGACCAAACAAAGGTCACAACACAATCCCAGATGCCTCCTGAACACGTTAATCGTGTTATAAATCACAACTTTGAAAAAGCAGTCCTTAGGAAGGCGAAATTCGGAACACTAAAATTATCCAATGTTGTAAACAAAAAACTAACGGTCGGCGGCGGTTTGAAGGTCATGTTGGGAGTAAAAATTCCGAATTTGTCGTCACGTTGGAGGAGGCAATCTGCTGCATTCAAAACTGCAACTGGATAAAAATAATTCTGAGAATAATTCTGCAGGGTCTGAGAAGAAGGAAAAGTTATTTGACTGATTCTTCGTGGTTTGTGCAATTACGGTCCGTGAAGTGCTAGCATTGATACCTGTCTGGTATAATGTGAAAATAAGGTCGATGTACTTCATGGACAATGTTCTACATAAGTTTTTCAATTTCGAAATTCCATAAAAGTACCTTTGGGGAGCTCGACAAAGTTTGCAGTCGTCACAACACAACATTTTTATATATTGCGGAGTTTACCCATTATGACGCCCAAGATTAAAACAACAAAATCGGAATGACCTCGACATCTTATTCCGAGGTCCATATTCAGTAATCTGGCACAGGTCAGATGGATTTTGTCGGGTTTGGATGCCTGAAACAAAGCATTTTCAAGAGGAAGTCATGAACTTTGGTTGGGCTTTGGAAAGTTCTAAATCAAGACTGGGATCTTGTCTCCCCTGAAACGTGTCAAAATGTGTTTGGAAATTGGAAACCAAGACTCAAACTTGTTGCTAGGAAGAATGGAGAATACATTGAGATCGCTAAAGTAATTCTCAGTCATTGTATTCAGAAGTTATAAGGTAATTCATACTGTTCATATAAACTGCGGACACCCTCTGTAATTGAGGTATTTGTCATAAAAGGGCGTAAGTATACAAATGTTTACGACTCTGCATGTACATAAATATATGTACATATTGTGAGGACCTAATATGACTGAGATGTACATATATTTATGATGAGATTCGGGAGAAAGTTACGCTTGACACCGAGTCCGCTTAACCCTTTAATGTGTTTGATTAACGACAAGAAACTGCATTAAATCGAGGACACTGTAAGTATGTTGTGGTCATGGCGCGGGAGGAGAAATTCATGAGTTTTTAATAAAACTCGAAAAACTGAAAAATCAAAAATTTAACATTGCGTTGTATAGGGAAATATCCAAATTTTTGGGAAGAAAATCTTCAAATTTAGCATTGTGTTGGCATAGGAGAAATCCCTCAAAATTGCAACAAATTTTAGGTTGCGGAGAGAAAATGGTGAAAATCAATAACCTCCTAGAAACGACAAATGTCTTCCTTCCGCGCCATGATGACGATTTTTCAGGACGACTTTTGTCGTACCCCGGAATTAAACAATTTCTTATAAAACGACTATTGTCGTCGTTACAGTTTAAAGGGTTAACAAAACCAGTGACAAGTGGAATCTCGGGGTGTATGTAGTCTCTGAGGTCGTTTCAGACTGACATCATAGGCCAAGACGAGCTTAATCAAATCACATCTGACTTATATAAGTCCAGCTCAGTTCTGTCTAATCTCGTCTCCGGTCTTCTACTCAAATAATGACCTCACTCTTTACCTAAATTAAGACTCCAACTTTATTCAACACATACATATTCGCCCATTTGGACCACGTGGTTAGTGACAACATGTATTAGTTCTGAAATTTAGTTAGGAAGTTCATATTGTGTACATAACATTTGCGATAATTTTTTTGATAGCTATTGACCACAGACTATGTTTATTAATATGTACATGCAGATACGCGATTAATACACTTCGAAAATATGATACTATGTACTCATTTAGGTATTTACAAAGCAGATGCTATAATTCAATTCTTAAAACAGCCAATCTATTTCCTCATTATTAGCAGAAATGAGATCATCTGTGTCACGCAGAATTCCTGTACTACCAACGGTGTCAACACTTCGACAAAGTTGTTACCAAACATTAACCTCAGCGGGGCCAGCGATTTGTGAATCTTTCTCTCAATTTTCTTCGTATTCTTCCCTTTGCACGACTTGATCCACTTCCTGCTCGCGGTGTTAACTTTTGCAGCTGAAGAGAAGATTTGCAAAGTAAATGCCAAGTCGAAAAGATATATCAGCAAGAACATGGCCGTTACAAGGGAATCAACCTGTTGAAAAAATATATGTCTTCATTTAAAATTCATTCGATTTAAAAACTGGAAAAGTTATTCATTCATTATTATTTGAAAATAAATATTTATTCATTATTCACGTCTTACTCATGTTATATCAAATTCGCCTTATTAAATGGATTTCCCAACATACCGTGAAAAATGAATAATGAGTGTACCATTCATTCATGCATTCTTCATGAATATGAGATTAGTAGATATTTATTTCATATTCATTCATTCCAGTATTTTGACCATGAAATAGCATCCCATTACATATTCACGAATTTATTGAATAATGAATAAATAGTTTATTCATTGAATAAATGAATTTTAATGAATATCGACCTGATTCGACAGGTGCATCGTGATGACCGCGAAGGACACGAAGATTTGCAACGACGGCGTGAGGAGGGCCGTCTTCAAAAAAATTGTATTTCGCGTGCAGGCATTCAAGATCTTTTCGAACATTTGCACTTTCCTGTACTCAATTTGAGAGGTTAATCCCGCTTCACACTTCCGGATAAAAACTTGACATTCGATCCACAGGAAGATGACCCCGGTTAAGAGCTCGATGATAACGTAGTACGTCGCACCCAGACCGACCTACAGGATCAAGGTGTTATAATTAGTTTATTCTGCAGCATGTTTGGACTATTTTTAATTACTAATTAGATTGTTCCACAGAATTTAATTCATAATTGCTCTTTAATTACAAAATAAAAAACGACTACATAATTTCAAAAGGCCAATTTACTACATAATTAGATTATTAATTGGCTTAAATAGCGACGTCAGTGTTATTACGAATGAAAAAGTAATTAGACAAAACATCGTTCTTCCGCACAACTTCCATTTTTTTTAAAAGTAGATATAAAAAGGATCAAGTAATTGAGAAATTTTGCTACTTAATTGGCTGAACTAGACGCCGCATAACAATTAATTAGCACCCAAATAATTATAAAATCAACAAGAATTTTACAATTATTTAGGTTTCTTATTAAGTACCAAATAAATTGGCTAAAATATTACGACTTCAGTATAATTACTAATTATGTAGCTAGACCAAATCTTATCCTTCTAAATACCAACTAATAATTAATTCGAGAGCCTTACCTGCATGCTGACGACGGACTCCACAATTGCCAAGAAGATGAGGGTGCATGTCTTGTAAAAGGGACAAAATTCGAGGACAGCCTGCTCTCGACGGAGGATCGAGCTGACTACCTTCGGTTGACAGGGGACAGCGAAGGGCAAGACCCCGAAAATCGGGAACTGTGTGAGGCTTACAACGATCAGGGCTTCTATAAAGAGGCGAAGAGGAAGTTCAGTAACATCCTCTCCTTCCGAGTGTATGCAAGGTCTGGAAAAAAATTTCAAAAAATGTATACGGTTTCTGTAAACTTAATCACGAGCTGATCATTTGATCCGATTTGTAATAAATAAGTAAATTCCAGGTTCTTAAGAATGTATTTACAGAAAAGGACACATATATTTCCGACGTATTTATATTCACCACTGGAAACTGGTACAGTTCGGGTAACCATTTTCGTAATTTTGTTCCCATAATTTTATCTCCAAGTTTCGGAATTTTACATTTATTAGTTAAGCCTTCATTTTTTTCGACGTGTTGCCCAACAAACTAGATGCATACTTAATAAAGAACTATGCAGATGGCATGTAGTCGATTTAAGGGGGGAGGGTAAGGTTCAAGGCATCATTCTATCCTTCCCATGTAAACAATAACATGGGGTATATAGGTCACCCCGAGTAGGGGTAAAATTCCCCGAAAATCGATCACACGCTTTATGCACGCTCATAATGTAAATTTTTCCATGGAAACGTACCTTTCGAGGTAAAGATGAAATTCAGAAATTGTGCCGGCACATAATCCCCTGATAGTTCGAATCGTAGCAGAAATGGGATCAGCGTCAGGGACGTTATCGCGATACCGATAACCCGTTGGATAAGACTCGTCGCTTTCGTAACAACCGACCAGATCCGGACCGCGACCACAACCAGTTGCAAAATCGTTCCGGCGTGAACAATTTTAGATTTCCGTTTCGTAATTAACTTTATTTTGCCAAGTTTTTCGTCCCACGTTACGAACGTGGCAGGAAAATAATCACCCAGTTTAAGATGGCGCTTGACGGAGCGTAGAATCGTAATTTTACTCATAATTCAACTCTTAGCAATCTTCAAGATTCATAAAATTTTGTTAGATTACGGCATAAACGTCGTACTGGTAATGATTTGATAACAACTTCACGCTAAGACTGGGTGTAGTTTTTGGCTTAATTGTAAATTTTCCACAACAATGCTGTACAGTTATACCCGATATTACCAGGTCCTCTAAAGTCACTTGCTTATATTGTCCGGTTACTAACGATTTACTCAGGAATACCGGTATGAATACAAGAAATGTTAAGCTTTGCTTAAATGAAATCAACTTATGTATATCGATTTCAATCAATGTCTACTTAATTATCTACTTCGACCGAAAATGACTTAAGTTGCACTCTTAAAAATTGTGCAGAGATACAAACATACCCCGTATTGGGCTTGATTTGGAACTAACTTCCTACAGGATTCGTGTTAGTTTATTTCTGAATGGTAAATTTGCTGTTACAAAACGGGTAATGTCCGTTGTTACCAGGGTCGTAAATGTACTCATGTTACTATTGATTTGATGATAGTTTTCTGAGAGTATACATAGACTTATTGGATTGGCGGCTTTGGGTATGTGCAATATCGCCCGTCAATTATATGCTTGTGTAGAAGATATGTAAGTAAGTCATCTCCGAAAGTCTATTTCACCAGAGAATTACGAAGTATATAATTTAATAAATATTTAATGTGAAAATAGATAATTAAATGTTATGTGTGTAACTCACCGATAGATACCTGTTAATTGTCAATTTAATCAAACTCGAATTTAAGAGAAACACATTAATATGTTAATATCTAATTCATGGGGGAGAGACATTGAAATCGTAAGTATTCAGAAATTAAATCGATTATAATGGTAATATCTGTATGTATGCATACATACCTAAGTAGATTATTACAATTCTGGTACAGACATATATTTAGTAACACACGTATTGATTTCTCAGTATTAAACTTGACACCACTTTGTATTAAAATTATGTATATACCGGTCGGTAAAAATTTGCTACCGATATGATACAATTATAGAGCAGAGGTACATAGCTACATATTAATCCACGGTATTAAATATATGTTTGCATACTTATCAATACAACTTTGGCTGAATCTTACGTGAAAATCGCTCGGTATTATTTATTACTTAATCCATAATTTTTATATGCATGTATTCTCGCACAGCAAGTGGCAAACATTATTTCAGGTACTGACTTGACTCTGAATTATGTAAATATGCCCGATCAGATGATTATGCAAATTTCATCTGCACAATACGTATTTACAATCATAATGTTTAAAATCTTACTTTAATTCGTTACGATTACAGTATAGAATCCATGGAATTTCCATCGATTTCCTTATGGCCGACTGGCTAGAAAATGCATTCACACATGTGACCTTGCAAGTACACTCTTAGAAATATTGTGTTAAAATGGAAACAAGCGTTATTCATGTCACACTAGCAAGGTGGAATTGATAAGTATGTATTTGGATAATATGGTGTATGTACAGATATTTCTAAATACGTTCTTATAACCCGGTATTAAAGTCTTCCCACATCGGTCAGGTGTTTTTACTTCGTGGCATAATTTCAATTCCAAGGGGAATTAACTTCATGAATTTATCTGTAATACCGAGAAGGTAAGACTTGCCTGACTGTAAGAACACTCCGAATTTGGTATACATATTTACTTCATATGCATGTTATGAGTCAGTGTTTTCTTACCCTTTCATTAAAGTAAAATTATTTTTAAGACTGTTCTGAAAAATAAATGCAGTCTAAGTTCTGTAAACTGTACAAAGTCCGCAGAGTGTACTTTACTCTTTATCAAGTTAAGCTGATAAAGTTCTGAATTCAGTACAGCTTGCTTAACATACATGTATTTACTTATATGTAAATATTTACATAGAATTTAGAGTGGATTTATGTTTGTATTGCTTCAAATGGTAACATTGTTTTTTTAGAGTGTGTAATTAAACCATCGCGTAATCTGCATCGCTGTGAAACAATGAAGCTAATTAAAGTAAGCAAAATGTGTATGTAGCTACACACAAAGTGATATTGTTGATATGCATCTGCATAATCCATAATTCTCACTTTTTCCTTCAGTTTTCCCTGAAATTTCATCTAGTAAACATTTCAGTCTTGATACATATTCAGAAACAAATAGATAGAAATAATTGTTGAATTTCAGCCATGTATTTTGGTTTTAGCCTCGCTTTAATAATAGCAGCCTTATTCCCCGCCTTATCAATCTCATTACGGGACGATTTAACATTAACGCGGACAGAATTGGAAATATTAATCAAGGTATGTAGCTTTATGAATATTCACACCAAATAATTTGGAAATGATTCTTCACCCGTAGAGGGTCTATGTATATGTAGTGTTCTAGTTTTGGGTAATGTAGACGTTCCAGTTTATCCGAATGTTAGTTTTTTACATAAACGTATGTATTAATTTTCTAACAAACCCTGGCACGTTTGTTGCGTACATAAGTTTTTTCCAGTTGATAACAAATGGTCTCGGTAATAATTAGACAACATTTAAGCATTATTTACATATACTTATGCGCATAGTACCTCCGCGGGTTGTCTCCAAATTATTTAGTGTGTACGAACCTAATTTCACAATTGAATATCTCTCTTTAAAGTTTAGGGAATTGGTAAAACCACGACTTCCACATGACTATATGAGCCAAGATATTTACTTGCTTACATGGTTGAGAGGTAATACTTACATAAATATGTAAATAATGTATACAAAATGAAAAAACTTGACTGCTGGAATTTTGTATGTATGCATAAACAGCAAAAGGGTTTAATATTCCTGCCGCAGAAAACATGTTAATGGAGGTAAATATTATTGTACGATATACACGTAATGATACCCTCTTTAAAATAATGTTACCCATTATAATAGTAAATGCACTCTGAAGTCTAACTTATCCTTAACTAAATTATGCTACATAAATCCATGATATATTTACTTTTCTTCTTACAGAATTCAGAGTGCATTTACTTTTTAATTGGACCAAATTATTTAAGAGTGCAAGATCCTATTTAGTGAAGCCATTATTTTTAATTTGTACATGCTTAGAATTTGAAATGGCGAAGAGCAAATAATATGGACAATATTCTGAAGGTACCATAAATATCTATACAACACAAAATTTCATATTAAGAAAAGCTAAACTACATACACATGTAACAACTAATAAATTACATTCTAGGAAAACTGGTCAGACTTTGACCAAGATTTTCGTTCCGAATTTCTTGGTTGCGATAAGGAAGGAAGCCCTGGTAAAGAATCTGACTTAAATTTCTGAATTTTCAATAAAAATATAAACACCTAAATATTTGCTTCTTAAATTTTAAGTGATATCAATTCCAATTAGAGATTGGAACGTGAGACGTGCCGTAATGGCCGGCCAGAGCAGAAAATTAATGCGATATTTGGACAAACAGCTCGAGGAAGTAGCAACTTTAATGCGAGAAGCTCGACAAAATGGGCAAAACATGACGCAATTTAAACGGATCATGGACATGACAAATTTTGACTTCCGGATACAAGCTTGTCCATTATGTGAGTTTTTTACAAATACGAAGTTTGAACTTATAAAAAAGAAGTTGCAAATTTTAAAAGTACATAAATCCACTCTGAATCATTTAAACCATACTAAATTTAATGAAAACTTTACTCTAAACGGCGTTGATTTAATCTGTCCCGATGAATTTTTGGGAACCTGACACAAAATTATGAAAACTATGACAAATTCGAAACACAATAGTTAGAGGCGTGATTAGTATAAATTTCTGAAACACTAATTAGCAACATACATATCCCCGTTCAAAAATTGACCTCAAAGTTTTCATCGTTTTTCATATATATATGCACAAGTTTTCAAATATTGACATTAGAAATCGGGACGAATTAAATAAATACCCTTTAAATAACGTTGTTCATTGTTCATAGTTTGACGATGTTAGAATTCAGTGTGGATTCACTTTAAAAAGGACAACATCACCCTTAAGAGTGTTCAAAATTTTCCATTTCTATTAATTAATTTGTCCTAAATTTCTCACAGGCATACCGGTCTTCATTAGTCATTTCTTGTCGTATGAAAATCATTTTCCTGGAAGTATCAAGTCGGTTAAAATTGTAAATTGTATGTCATTCTTGTTACCGTATATTTGCATATCCTAAAAAATAATGTTATAATTGTGGAAAGTACGGTATTCTAAATTCCAGATTGCGTAAACTATGCTAAGTAAATCCAGAGTAATGTCAACTTTATATATTTAATGTTTAGTTTCCTCTGGATTTATTGCAGTTCACTTAATTTAGAATTCAGACTGCACTTACCTTCCTCAAGGGCAACAATGTTTTTAAGAGTGTGTCATTTTTCCAAATGACAAATTATTCTGCATTTTAGGCCCACCCATATTTGTATCTTTATGGAAAATCGTACGAGATTTTCTCCCTCCGGGAATGAAGGATATCCTAATGCTGTACGGAAAAGACAAAACTGAGTGGAAAACTGCACTCTTAAAAGAAATCGATGCTTCTCAGCTCACTAAAGAATTCGGTGGCCAGAACGACGAAGGCTTTTCGATGGGAGACGTTATAAAGTGTTCCAGGTGTGCAAATACAGCTTAACTCTATTTAAAACTTATTTTGATAGTGGATAATTGATTGTTGTAATTTTTATTTTGTAGTTTATCAATTACTCAAGCTAAACGAAATTTAAATTGAGATGAAAACAGTTTTAGAATTTCGAATACTATATATCAATAATTATAAACAAATTGTTTGTTATCCACGAAATTTTAGTGTTACTATGATAAGTCTAGAGAAATACATAACCGATGTGTGATGCTTTTAACGTACCTATAATTATCTAAAAAAAACTATATTTGCCTTTGGGCTACATCAGATAAACAAAAAAGATAGCGTATATTCACTTATTACTCCAAGATTTAAACTATTCCTAATTTATAGACTTCCTGGTCATTACCAAACAAAGCGAGACTGTTTGGTTTATACAGAAATTTTGCACGACCAGTGGGGTCCCCTTGTCTATGAAATTTGAACCAAATTTGATTTTCAGTAAGCCACAGGATTTCAACTCTCTTATCAGCAGCCCTCTTTTCCCAAGTTGAGAGCGAACTGTTTTCTTTGCCAAGGTGTTCAGTACCCTCTCCGAAGAAATATTTATCCTGGAAGCCAATGAGATGACGAGAATGTTGTTTATCAATGAAAGGAGGCCGAGTAAGGGAAATACTGCGAATCCAGGGAGGGGGATTTCTTCATGTAGTGTAATGGACACGAATAGCCCGAATATTTGGATCGCTGGAATACAGGATATTACCGTTGGAAGAATTATCTTCGTGAGGAAGGCGTTGAATGATTTCTCCAAGATTTGAACATTACGATATATCCGGATGCAAGAGGTGTTATTGGTGTCATTTTCGATTTTAGAAGATTCTCTAAATATAAATTGCAATGATGTAAATTATATCCCAAGAATCGACACATACATTCGTTTAGGCTTCAAGTCTAGAAAGATCCTACACCGTTTACATGCATCACGTCGGCGGCCAAAATTTGAGAAAATTATTTACTGCCACTTTGTTTCTATTTCGGCGTACAAATTATTCAATTCAAAATAAAAACGAAATGATATTAAATAATTTTCTCGAATTTGACCTAATTCATTTAGACGGTGTTGGATCGTTCACTCGTTCTGACTAGGAAGTATTTTAGGAAATACTTTAGGAATGGAGGATTCTTGGAGCCTCTACATAAGTAGCTACTTAAAAGATAAATCCATTATCTACCTCAACATATAATACTCAATGTCATTGGATAAATAGCATAATGAGTTACACCCTCGCTCGTCTCTAACTCATTTGTCTTACCTGTTTATAAGTTGCAAGCAGTGCAGCAAGAAACTTATTCCGGCCAAGAGAATATACACAATCCAGGTAGTTGCGGAATATAATGTGTGATAGGCCATCCAAGTTTCAAAGATGTGTACTCCAAGCCTCACTCCGTACCGTAGTGTCATGGCTTCGACACGGCAAGAAGTTGCAAACATCGACAATATGAATGGTGGCGTGCAAGGAATAAATTGCAACAGAAGAAAGGCAAGAATTGGGTAGGAAAATACGCCGATTTCCACCAAGCAGACAAATGTCTTGAGTGCCTTAGTTTCCATGGAGATTGTCATTTTCGGTCGGCCTACATACATATATGTTTCAGGAAATTTTCGAAATAAGTATATGTTAAACACACTTCACGGCTACAAATCAGATGTAATGCACACACAACCACGTAGATAATTTAGGTTACTCGCTATTGAAAATGTTACGGCCGTACCTGCTTCGAAATCCAGAAAAGTATTTATGACTTGAATTGGACCAATATCAATAGAATAATTCCATCGTGCAATCGACGCAGCTAGACACAGAATGAATGGCGCAAATCCCTGCAATCTTCCCGACGTTGTTAAATGACTATTGGTACTAATATTCAGAAACATAGCCGTGCAATAAACCACTGACAAAACACATTGCAACTAGTGGTCTCAACGGTTCTCGGTTCTCATAGAACCGAACCGGAACCGATGGCTCGGTTCGGTTCCGGTTTATACGGAGAACCGAACCGAACCGAAACTTTTATTACCGGTTCGGTTCCGGTTCCAAGTCTTTGAGAACCGAACCGAACCGGCCGGTTCGGGTTGAACCGAACTTCATACATAAATACATTAGCGAAGTCAATCATTTTTCCAAAAAGTTTTACGAATTTCCCGAAATACACATAGTTTCCAAAATGAAATTTTGACGTGGCCGCACCTCCAAAGTTCCCAAAATGAAACTTTGACATGGCCACACCCCCAAAGTTCCCGAAATGAAACTTTGACTTGATGACACGCCCAAAGTTCCCAAAATGAAACTTTTATTTGGTCACACCCCCAATGTTTCCAAAACGAAATATTGACCTGGTTACATTCCCAATGTTTCCAAAACCAAATTTTGACTTGATGACACCTCCAAAGTTTCCAAAATGAAATTTTCACCCCCAAAGTTTCCTAAACGAAATTTTTACCCCCAAAAGTTTCTAAAATGAAATCTTTACTTGGTCACACCCCAAAGTTTCCAAAATGAAATTTTGACTTGGTTACACCCCCAATGTTTCCAAAATGAAATTTTTACTTGGTCACACCCCCAAATGTTTCCAACATGAAATTTTTACTTGGTTACACCCCCAAATGTTTCCAAAATGAAATTTTGACTTGGTTACACCCCCAATGTTTCCAAAACCAAATTTTGACTTGATGACACCTCCAAAGTTTCCAAAATGAAATTTTCACCCCCAAAGTTTCCTAAACGAAATTTTTACCCCCAAAAGTTTCTAAAATGAAATCTTTACTTGGTCACACCCCAAAGGTTCCAAAATGAAATTTTGACTTGGTTACACCCCCAATGTTTCCAAAATGAAATTTTTACTTGGTTACACCCCCAAATGTTTCCAAAATGAAATTTTGACTTGGTTACACCCCCAATGTTTCCAAAATGAAATTTTGACTTGGTTACACCCCCAAATGTTTCCAAAATGAAATTTTGACTTGGTTACACCCCCAATGTTTCCAAAATGAAATTTTGACTTGGTTACACCCCCAATGTTTCCAAAATGGAATTTTGACTTGGTTACACCCCCAATGTTTCCAAAATGAAATTTTGACTTGGTTGCACCCCAAACTTGGAATTGTTTTCTAACTTCAATAATACATACATAAGTGGTTTTGCTGTTGACATGTATTAGAATTTGCTTGTTTAAATACAGATAAGTTATTGGCTTTTATGTGAAATTTCATCAGAAACACGTCAATTAGCATTGTTTGTTGTTTATTGCATATTAATAACACTACCGGTTTGACCCGAACCGCCGGTTCGGTCACGGTTTGGTCCGGTTCCGGTTCCGGTTCGGTTCCAGCTAAAAAAAGTTCGGTTCTGTTTCGGTTCTTCAATTCTGGTTCTCGGGTCTAAACCGGTTCTTCCAAGAACCGAACCGAACCGCACCGTTGAGACCACTAATTGCAACCGAAACATGCGAATTACACGAGTAGATTTAATTCTCCTCATTCGTCCCAGATTTTGGTCAAATTCGAATGGGATGCATTTCAGTAGGTTACAAATCCTTACATGAAACTTCAGCAAAGAAAGAAATTCTCTTCCATACATTGCGTTCGCGTTTTGGAAAACAAGTGGGCGAGGAAGTGTCGAAGTTTGCTATATTTGATTCGCAAATAATCTAGGTGTAAATTTCTAAGAACTTGCGTGGACTTAGGGTCCCATAGAAAGCAGTATGGCTAGATCAATTGATTTAATTATCTAGATAGGAAATCATATTAAGTTCGATAGCTTATTTGATGGCTTATTTAGTCTAAATCGATAGGAGCAGGTACACGTACACTTTATATTAATATGATCGAATACTTCAGATTAAATCGACTCTTCTGTAGAAGTCCAGTATGAAGCTGACATCATTCTATATATATGTACGACTCTATCAAATGTGATGCACATTTAAGTACTCCCGGGTAGTAATAGCTCAGGATGGAAGTTTAATCTTTCTACCATATCGGTAGCAAAGTTTTAAGTCCGGTTTAATATTTTAATACCAGTAAGCATCGACGTAGATATGACAAGTTCGAAGATATCACCACATCCAACCCTAATCAAAACCAATCTTAAGATAATAATGTTATTTAATTACTTTTGGTTGATATGTAGCTGGCTATCAAACAATCATCCGCCACATCAGCATATACACTCTACAAAATTGGACACCAATCTTCTCGTGGGAACACTCTTCTATTGTCACCGGACAATGAAGAAAGTATTTGTCATCAACAAAAGATGAGACAACAACGCAGGTACACAACCAATCTACATATGTAAATGAGGTGACCAATTTTACGGTGGGTAAAATTTAACCTGCGTCCATACAATCGGCGGCGCTTACCTCTTATCTGACATCGTTCTTCTACGAAACAAAATTAAAATTGTTAATTTCTTACTAATTTTATTTCTTTGGGTGCAAATACATGTCAATGTCTGTGGAGACTATTTTTCTTCAAAATTGTTTAGAGTGTATTCACTGCGTACGTGATTCGCTGCTTTTCTTAAGCATATAAACAGGCATAAATGAAAATGTAGTCGATCCTCAGCTTATGTAAATTGTTGACGAGTAAGTCTCTTAATCAGGATAGTTTGAATTGATCATATGCCTGATTTCATAGGAAACATTTAAACATCTTCCAAGCCGTATTGAATTGACTGCTTCTCTCGTCTAAGAGATGCTTATCGCTTTTAAAACCCAGATAAACACCACAATGAACAACCCAACTCAACCCCATTAAACCCGATTTATTTTATTCGTTTATAGCTAAACCATGGAAACCCCTAAAACCCAAAACCCAATGAATCCCTGGGTCGGAATTCCCTCGGATTTTATCCATACCCATACCCATGGTACCAATATTTTTACGAATATAATGTACGTGTTTAAGTTCATCCATATGCACATACGTATCTACATAAATTTTGTCGTCGCACAAATTTTCTCACAATAAAGAGCAACATGAACATTTTTACATTTACATACATATTTCCTCTAACAATGCGCAGTATCTACAAGAAGCAAACATTAAGTTGTAGGGCAGGTACATATTGTGCATATTATGCAAGAACTGACGACACGAACTTGCACACAATATTTACACTCATGCAAAACTACATAAATAAATATGTACACTCATATCATTTATGCTATAGCATAACAAATATTATGTATTACATGGAGTGTCTCACGGTCGACAGGATAAGTAAAAAATGTTGTCGGTTACCTGCCGTCCTTGTGCCTACGTATGTGCACTCTTAGAAAACTGGTATTAAATGATTACCGACCGGAGTGCATGCCTGACTCTACCGGCATCGGCAATAATGGGAATTACCGTTCAGTAATGTTGTGGTAATGAAAAGTTTACCACTCAGTAACAAATCATTACCAATCCGGCAGGAAGTTATTACCAAATCAATATCAGCACGGAGTATCTATATTTATGTGACTCTGCCAGATTTTTAAAAGTGTACGTATGCATCTTTATAAATATGTATGTATGTGTGACGCCTACACTCTTAAAAATCATGTGAACCTTTTGGAAAGCAAATGTAAATACATATGTGCATACACTAAAGTTTTAACGAAACGATTTGCATTACGAGTTTAATATTTTTTTAATTTTAATTTTAATTTTTTAAGAAATTAAAAAAATAGTGTCAGTCTTAAATTACAGGAATGGTTGAAAAATTTTGTTATGGCATATTAGCAGTGTATGTATTCTTTTTTGAAGCTTCATCAGGATTGTATAGCAGAGTTATATTGAAAAATCAAGCCAAAAATTAGTTATCATCTGAAACTTATGTTTCCATTGATTGGCCCCTTCTAAGAAAAATATTGAACCAAAGTTCAATTTTTTAGTAAATTACTTGTCTTTTCCTCCACGTGGCGACAACCAATCCGGACGTGTGAACTCTACTGGTAATATTTTTCTTTTAATTGACAATTCAGTGGAAAATTGTATGCCATGTGATTCCTAATTTTTGGCTTGCTTTTTTAATCCAACTCGATACACAATCCTGGGAAAAAAGGTGCACTCTTCGTTATGGAATTTGAATAAGGGGCAATATCAATAGCGCAGCTGAAGTTGATGCCATTGTCTTGGTTTATCGCTAAATCATATGTATTTTTAAGAGTGCACAAGAAATGTAGTCCGCACCAATTAAATGAACTTCCTTGTCTACACCTAGCCATGTTCAAGTTCAATATCATTTCATTGACCTAATCGTGCATACAGCCTATGACGTAATCGGCATCGCTGTGGGAAAAATGTAGTAAACAGACTATGTAACATTGAACAAAAAATGTAATAATTTCATTCTGTTGATGCGCTATTTTTCTCAATTTGTCCTTCAGTTCAACTTAATACTGTAGCAAATAAACAGTGAAGTACGCATTGTCAGAAATATTCGCCATTTTCAGAAATAAAAATATATCTCTGTTTCAGAAATGAGTTTTAACATAGTTTTTCTCTTCGTTATGATATTGTTCCCCTCGTTATCAAATCAAACCTCATTGCAGGAAGATTTAACCCTAACACAGACAGAACTAGAAATATTAACCAAGGTAAAGTATGTAAATAGTTTGTGTATTAAAAATTCATGAATGTGTAAAGTAGCACTCTTTAAAATAGATAATGCTACCCTTTTGAAAAATTAATGCAGTCTGAATTTCAAATTAAAGTAAACCACACCAAATGCACAGGAATATTAACTTGATAAAGTAAATTTTACGCTGGATTTGATATGGTTTATTTAATATGGAATTCAGACTGTATTTACTTTTCAAAGGGTGACATTATTGTTAAGTGTGTATGATTGAATTTATCCACAATTGAATTTATCCCTTTAAAGTTCAGGGAATTGGTCAAATCACGGCTTCCACATGACTATATGACCGAAGACATTTATTTGATTACTTGGTTGAGAGGTAATAAATACATTAGCGGAATTTAAAACGAAAAAACTTGTACCTAGTTTTAATTTTTGATTTTTTTGATATTATTGTATTAATTTTTTATTGTATTTCTATTTTATTTTTTTTTGTTAGCAAAAAAGTTTGAAATTCCTGCAGCTGAAAACATGTTAATGGAGGTACATAAATATTTATATGCGACATAAATATGTAACCCTGACAGAACATAACCTTAAGAAAGTGTTACCCTTCTGACAAGTAAATATACGCAATTAATTACTCACGAAGAACATGGCCAATTGTTGGGTAAATTTACGAAAGCAATCCATGGGTTTCCATGCATGGATGGGTTTCCAGCAAAATTTTTGCCACATCTCGCATATCTGGCAAACTTCGTAAGTTATGTATGTTGCTCAATTTTGCGAGGTACGTGAGATATGCGAAGTTTGACGAGAGTACGCTCAATATTAAGTAAACTGGGTAAATACACGTTTATACAACACCTAGGGCAAACCTTCTTCTTTATCAAGTTTACCTCTGAATTTAGCATACATATCTTACTAAACATTGAATTCAGACTGCATTTACTCCATATGCTTTTCAAAAGGGTAACATTGTTTTTAAGAGCGTATGGTCCTACATAGTTATACAATCACGTTCAATTTGTGTAGAATTTGAAATGGAGGAAAGTACATAATATGGACAATATTCTGAAGGTGCAGACTATTTAATAAATATTCAAATTAGATCAACTACTAACCTATGAAACTAATTTAATATTTTACAGGAAGACTGGTCAGATTTTGAGCAAGAGTTTCGTTTTGAAATTCAAGGTTGCGATAAAGAAGGAAGGCCTGGTAAAATCCCTGAGCACAGTTTTAAATAAATTTGCCATTTCAATTTCTTAATTTGCAATAAAAAACATTTTTTTAAATTATATTTTTTAAACTTTAAGTCGTCTCAATCCCCGTTGGAGATTGGGACGTTAGACGAGCCGTGCTTGCCGGACAGAGTGATAAACTAATCCGATATTTCGACAAGCTCCTTGAAGAAGTAACCACCTTAATCCGGGATGCGCAAAAAAGTGGGGAAAACATGACCCGATTTAATCACATTATGGACATGGCCAATTATAATTTGAGGATACAAGCTTGTCCGTTATGTGAGTTAAAGATACAAAGTTGAACATCTTTACTAATTAACGTTGCATCATTAAAGGCGACAAATCAGCTAATTTTTTAATCGTTTCTCAGCTGCGAAAATTTGTTTTAAAATTCTGAACGATCAACTTATAGTAACTAACAATGCGATGGTGCAAAGTGTAACCCTCCGATTTGGTTGAAATTTCGAAATTATGTGGTCCATGTCAAATTAACCAACGTTTCTTCAGGCAGTTTGTGCGATGGGCAGAATTGAGCAAAACATTTGAGGCAAAAGTAGAAAAATGGGCGATTTTTAGCACTGGAAGAGGATCGAATTTGAGTTAGCTTCCTCCGCCTATTAAAAATCGCCCGTTTTTCAACTTTGATTTCAAATATTTTGACAAATTCTGACTATCGCACAAACTGCCTGAAGAAACGTTGTTTGTATTTACATGGTCTACATAATTTCAAAATTCCAACCAAATCAGAGGGTTACACTTCACACCATCGCATTGTAAGTGGTTTAATAAAATTGTGGCGAGTTTTTTTAAACCAGTTTCAATAAATTTCCATTCTTCTGAAGGCTTCTTGAACTTGAGATTCGCCTCTGCGCAAAAATCTGGAGGAAATTTTTCTTAAATTTCCACCTTCCTGCTCTAACAATTGGACTTCAAGAATTTTAAAATAAATTCTGAGAGCCGAAGAATGAAAAAAAATGTGCTGATTTTGAAGATTTTAATGTCCAAGTTCTGTTTTTTAGGCATCCCGGTCTACGTTAATCATTTTCTATCGTATGAAAATCACTATCCTGGAACTATGAACTCAATCAAACTTGTAAATTGTACGTGAAAATATTTTTGTTTCCATATTATTTTGAAATTTCAAATTAAATGCTCCTTATAAATTTGCTGATTTTAGGCCCACCGATATTTCTCTCTTTGTGGCAAATCATACGAGAATTTCTCTCCCCTGTAACGAAAGATGCGATTAAGCTGTACGGAAAGGACAAAAGCGAGTGGCAAACTGCACTCTTAGAAAATATCGATGCTTCCCAGCTTTCTAAGGAATTCGGTGGACTGAATGATGAAGGTTTTTCGATGGAAGAAATTAGAAAATTACCGAACCTCAAGTGTTCCAGGTATGCAAATAAGATTAATTAACGGGTTGTTGCTACAAGTTGTTATCCGCGCGCTATTACTTGTCCCCGGCTCATACACAAATTAACAGTGTCTACAACACAGTCAGTATACACGCTCAACACTCTACAACACGGGAGAGTACACCGTTAATTTGCGCGCGGATAATATTTTGCACGCTTAAAGATGATGTTACCCTTTTGAAAACCACAAACACTCTGAATTCCTAGTTAAGAAAACTATAAAAAATTCGTACTAAACTGACCAAGTTAACGTTACACTGGATTAGAATTTAGAATTAAGAGCGCATTTATTTTTCAAAAATGTGACATCATTTTAAAAGCGTGCGAGGAAAATAACTGTCTGCAATTTATTTATTTCCAGTTTATCGATGGTTCGGGAAGCAAGAAGTAAAAGTTGAGATGGGAGGATTTTAATCAAATTTATGTAATCATAATTAAATAGTGATTCATATTATGTAAATTGTGTTAAGAATTACAAAATAAAAATTGAAATATTTACCAAATACAAATAGTATTCTGTATTTTTTAATATTATTTTCCCCACCTCTGCAAAATTTACTATGTACTTAATTTCCGAATATAAACGAACTTTGCATGTTAATATTTACTACATGTGACAGTATTATTGTTCTCGATATGGGAACGAACATGCATTACGTCATCAAAAAGGTGGGTGGTGGCCTATGTTTCTTTTATTAAGCTTAACATTAGCAGGAAGAGGAAGAGGTGGGTGGATGGTCTACAAAAAATTTGCATTTTTTATAACGTACTATATGGACGTTCCCTATTGTCATAAAGTGTCCCAATTCCGTACCCTTTGCAGAGTTAAGGACTTCATGCAGGAAGACAAATAGCCCCTCACATACTTTCTCCTTCTGTATTTATTAACAAAACTACAGGCTGTTTAAACTACTCAGGATTTATTTTAATATGCTGGTGTATTATTTTAATAAACCAACGGTTAATCTTACAGAAACATTTGTTACTTCAAAAACCCTTTAAATTTTGCTTAAAACACCTAAATTAAACCTTTCCAAGTATTTAAAAATTATTCATAAGTCCATTAAATATATGTCACAGTAATCATTCATTCATTATTTTCACAATAAACCATTTCTTATAAATTTTTCAGATAACAATTTACAAGATAGTGACAACACCGAAAGTTGAAAAAAAACGTCTTAAATGGCAAAATCTTCAGTAGCGCAACTTGGTACGGGTAAAACGGTGCTAGATACAATGTCCAGAACACAGATTGTTATACAATTTTATAAATTTTCGCTCTTAGGTAATTTTCTCACTAAAAAACGTTTCAAAAAAATGCCAAGGAAGAAATCAGGGCCCCCTTGTGACCAAATTCTTCCCTACCTTAACGAAGATGTAAGTCTGACATGGAAGAATGTCATAATTTGTATCTTCGAACATACACTCTAAATAATGAGGACATAAATCCTCACCCGCGGGGGAACCATAGTTGTGCATAAAATATTTACGTAAGTATTTTCACCTACATTTTAACCGCAAAGGTCACAAAAAGCTCAGTTTACACGCAACGAGCACAAAATCACATTAACAATGGAACCTTTTTTCAAGCTACACCTGGATTAACTAGCGAGTTATGTCAAAAAATCAAGCCACAAATTAGGACTCACGTGACACTTATCTTTCCGTTGATTGGCCCCTTTGAAGAAAAATATTGGCGGTAAAGTTCAATTTTTGAGCAAATTTTCTCTTACTTTTTCTTCCACGGGGCGAAAATCATGAAGGAGTGAGAACTTTGACCCCCAAAATTTTTCTTCAAACGGGCCATTCAACGGAAAGATAAGTGTCACGTGGCTCCTAATTTTTGGTTTGATTTTGTAACATAACTCGCTAGTCGATCCCGGTGTAGTTTGAAGAAAGGTGCCATTGTAAGAGGTTCAGCCACTGTTCAATTTGGCTATGTCGATTGGAGCCGAGATTTAGCCCCGGATGGAAAAGTGGCCTCGAGGAAATAGTAGTTTATGATGCCACCGCAATTTATAAATTACAGGTAATCCCCCTAATCTGTTCTTGGCTGCCGCTCCCCGACGTGAAAAACTGTCGCCTCGTCTCCCGAACTTGGAACGTCGCGGCGAAACCGATCCTTCGGAAGAAGAGTGTTATCAACCTCGAATGTTCCTTCGATAAGGGAGAAATCGCTCGAAATGCAAGGATTCAGAGAGAAATGGCCTCTTTCGGACAACCCCTCCACCACGTGGACATACGCATTTGCGACCTTGGCAAAATTGACTTCAAGAGTAAAGTTTATCTCGATCAGGTCCACCTTTTCACGAAATATCTCTCCGTTCATAAGTTGGCTATATCGGTACACATCAGGGTTTTACTTTACCCACCTTTTGAGCTTAATCCCCAGCCCAGTGGGTAAAATGGAAAAAATGGGGAAAATGGGTGGGTAGTGGGGAAAATGGGTATGAAGGGTTATACTAAGGTGGTGAGCCACCACCACCATTGGGGGTAGTTTATTTTCCTTGTTTTGTTCTGTTGTTATTGTTTATTAAATAAACCACTCGATTTTTTATTTTACCGTTAAATAATTCATTAGGTTGAAAATTGACAGTCTAGTAAAAATAAAAATACACTCTGGGTAAATTCTGGATAAAAACGAAATATCCTAACAATTTACATTCATTTTAATCTCTCATAAAGGATAACAATTTATCTTTTGTCATTAGATCTTGATAGTGATAGCGAATATGAATTAACCACCTAATATAACCTTACCCATGAGGAAGTAAATGCAAACAATTTCGAAGAAAGGAATACAGAGAGAGTCAGCAATTATCTATATTTTTTATAATTTTTCAGTTAACTTTATCTTTCAAGTGGGGGTGAAAAAGTGAATCATTTTGCCCCAAAAAGTGTTTTCCCCATTTTCATCACTTGCGGGGCTTTTGGGTGGGTGGCTAAAACCCATTTTACCCACCCATTTTCCCCACCCTATTTTCCCCACGGTAAAACCCTGGTACACATCCATTCAGTGTGGATGTTTCAATTTTTGGCACAGGTGAGCTCAATTCATACCTGTTCATATTTATTCATTCGTAAAAATGAATTTATAAATTAGTCATTCATTATTCAATATTTACATATTTCCGAATAATAAATAAGTGTATATCTGTAATTCTTTTCAAATTATTGAATGAATTAATATTGAACAAATATTTATTCATTTCATATTCAATAAGAATGAATAAATATTAATTAATTTCATATTCATGAATGAATGAATAATTTTATTCATTATTCATTTTTAGTAGTAATTGTAAAATTCATCTAATTACGGAACTCTGGGGTAGAACAAATAAAAATGAAGAACTCTTTATTTTCAAATTTTGAATGAATTCCTATTTTTTTGAACAGGTGCTCCTCAATCCTGCCCACAACTTGGCTGAAGTCGAGATAGGTTTACATGTTGTTCGTGATTCAATTAAAAAGGGCAAATCTCGCACAGAATTTTGTGGCGGGAAGATATTCAATACCGTGAAAAAGCTGACACACTCTTAGTACTGCGGTAATAATAATGCATACTCGTTTATTACCGAACGGTTGGTAAATATATACTTTCCCGGGGCAGTAATAAAATTGTTTACCAAAATTCATTATAATACGTAAAATTTATTTATTACTGTTTGGTATTATCGAGAAAACCAAAGTGGTAGCATAAAATTACCAACTTATGTCAATTTAACACTGAAGTGAGGAACGTGATTAATACTGCCTCGTATTAAAACTTTTAGTCATAGGGTAATGAGTTAAAACTTCCATGCGGTGTATTTTTATTATTACTCCGGTAAATATTTTTTGCAAACTCAATAATAAAGTTAACGCGCACTCACACCTTAACATACAAAAGAAGCACGAAGACTTGCTCTCCAGAAAATACAAAAATAGATCGTGTTTAGAATTCTTTCGGAGCTAAAATGCTGGTTCTCAAAGGTAAATTTAAAGGTAATTAGATTAATTGTAATTAATATATTAATTTATTAATGCCAAAGTGTTACTGATTCATCTTTTAAATGTAAATTTCACTATTAGTCACTTCAAAGCTTGCTGCTAAACTGGTGACTGGTCGAGTCGAGCTATAAGTGTGAGTTTATTTTAAAACATCGCTTATTGATTAATTAATTAAAATCGTTTTTTGTTTATTTAGGGAGTCATCAGAGATTTGAAGTCATTTGCTGACGCAATTATTGAGATTTTGCCATTTTGGAGCATATCCTGGGACTACTGGAGGAATTGTAAATTTTAAATTTAATATACAAGTTATGAAATTTTAACTAAAAAATATTGTGCATAATTTTGACGTAAATAAAAATATGATTTAATATACTATTTCTTACGAATATTTACCAAATTTAGTGAAATCATTACCACAATAATAATTAATATTCCCCAAGGCAGTAATAACATTAATACCAAATTATATTAAAAATACACCAAGGAGTAATAATAGCATTACACAGTGGTAACTATTTATTACTGCAAAAGAGTTTTCGTTGTTACTCAGCAAAACTATTTTTAATACCACGTTATAATGAATCAATCCCGGGTCAGTAGCTATTGAAAAAGTTACCGCACGGTAAATAAAAAGTTACCACGGCAGTAGAGTCACATAGATACTCCGCCCGGTAAACTTTGTGGTAATGAAATTGTTAAGAGTGCACTGACATTTGTAACGGTATTTTGGCCGCCCATGGTACCGGTGCTACCTTGCGCTACCGTACCAAAAATTTTGGCCGCTTTCCCGAACATTGTGGAACTCAGTGCTACCGGGTCCCTGCTCCCACTTCTGTTCGTGGAGGGGAGACCATCTCCAAGGTGAGTAATTTATGATCAGCTCCTGAGAATTTAACCTTTCGTCCAACTGCATCAGAAAAGCGAGTTATATCAACAAATCAAACCAAAAATTAGGAGTCATATGACGCTTATCTTTCCATTAAATGGCCTCTTTGGGGAGGGGATAAACTTCAAAACCCGTCCAACCTGGCACCCCCAAGGAGACAAAATTTACTCAAAAATTGAACCTTGTCGCCAATATTTTTCTTCAAAGGGACCATTCAACCGAAAGATAAGCGCCGACCGTGTTCATACCCCCCCGGTCCAGTCTATTCACAAAAATTTCAAAAACGTTGATGGGATCCACCATCGTGCTTCTGTGATTTTTTTGTTGGGCATAAGTTGGATTTGGTCGAAAAAATGAGTTCTCTTCGACTGGAGGTGAACTGAAGTGTCAAAAAATATTTGGATTTGGGTATGGGTGGGGTTGGATTTGGGGGGTGGATTTGGGTGGATTTGGGTGGGGGTGGAATTATAAATGCCGAACCTATCTTACTCGACAAGCTTAGCTTATGTAACATGAGCAGCAACGGAATTTAAAGGGGTAGGTGGTGTAGACTTGGGGTTGGGTTAGATGGACTAAACGATGAAGGTTATTCGATTGAAGAAATCAGAAAATTACCATACCTCAAGTGTTCCAGGTATGAAGATAAGATTTATTAATGAATTGTTGCTGCAACTTATTTTGCACTCTTAGCAACAATACTACACGTTTGAAAAACAAATACGCTCCTACATACATAGTTCTAAATTAATTAATCTGTAATAAAGCCAGCGTAAACTTTACTCTTTATCAGGTTAACGCTACTCTGGATTTACATAGAAAAATAACTGTCTGCAATTTATATTTTCTAGTTTATCAATGGTTCGGGATGCAAGAAGTAAAAGTTGAGATGAAACGATTTTAATCAAATTTAATCATAATTAAACAGTGATTCATATTGTGTAAATTGTGTTAAAAATTACAAAATAAAAATTGAAATATTTACCAAATACAAGTAGTATTCTGCATTTACAAATAGTATCTTCCCTACCTCTGTAAAATTTACTGTATGTACTTAATATCTGAGTATAAACGAACTTTGCATGTGAATATTTACTACATACGCGTGACAGTATTATTGCTCTCGAGTCCCAATATGGGAACGAACATTTATTACGTCAGCAAAAAGGTGGGTGATCGCCTATGTTTCTTGTATTAAGTTTAACATGAGTAGGACAAGGAAGAGGTGGGTGGATGGTTCACATAAAAATTGACATTTTTTATGACGTACAACATGGATGTTCCCTATGTCCCAATTGCAGACCTTTATAGAGGGAAGGACTTCATATAGGAAGACAAAGTCCTTCACTGACTTTATCCTTCTGTATTTATTAACAAACCTACAGGCTGTGTAAACTAGTCAGGATTTATTTTTATACAGCAACGGTTAATCTTACAGTAATATTTGTTAGTTCAAAAACTGTTTAAATTTTGCTTAAAACATTTAAATTAATCCCTTCAAAGTATTTAAAAATTATTCGTAAGTCCATCATATTTCACAGTAATCATTAATTCATTATTTTCACAATATACATCACAATAAGCAATTTCTTTTAAATTTTTCAGATAGCAATTTATAAGATAGGGACAACACCGGAAGTTGTAAAACAACTTCTTACAAGCGAAATCTTGAGGAACGCAACTTGGCACGGGTAAAACGGTGCTAAGTAAAATTCCAGGAACATAATTTGTTGTACAAGATTTTCGTTTTTAGGTAATTTCCTCGAAAAAAAACGTTTTGAAAACATGCCACGAAGGAAGAAATTCGTGGAAAAATCAGGGCCCACTTGTGACCAAATTCTTCCCTCCCTAAACGAAGATGTAAGTCCGACATACATAAAAATGTAGCAGAATCCCGTAATTTTTATGTTCATAGGTACATATGTATGTACATACTGTATGTACTGAACATACATGCACTCTAAATAATTAGAAGATAAATCCTCACCCTGTGAGGAACCATAGTGCGTTATAATTAAGTACTTTAATGTTCATTTTAACCGAAAAGGTCACAAAAGGTCACAAAAAGCTCCAGTTTAATAGCGAAGGTCATCAATACATATGTAGGTCAGCAACTGTTAAATTTGACAAATACGTGCATTAAGTTGAACTGAAATTTAGCCCCGAATTAAATTGCGACCTCCATTTTGATCTCAAATCATTAGTAGATCATGATACATATGTACCTCCAAGAATTATACCTGTTCAACAAATTAGTTTTGATTCAAAAGTCAGTCATCTCGACTGAAGTTTATCATTTACACTCGGTAATTTTCGTTCAAATTCATTTCACTTCACTTCACTTCATCGGACTTCATTTCTTACTTCGCCCCATGTATAGGGTGAAAAATCACGTATGTAATTCATTTTAAGTGACAGGATCCTTCAGTCATTTTCAATCAAATCAAAAGAAATTTATTTTCGTCCACTATCATGATCAGTCAAATGAATGAAACTGAACAGATGTGCCGGGTCACTACTTGTCCCCAATTTATTCAACTTAACAAATTTCAGGTTACTCCCTTCATCTGTTCCTGGCTGCCCCTCCACGACGTGAAAAACTGTCGCCTCGTCTCCCGAAGTTGGAACATCTCTGCCAAACCGATCCTCAAGCAGAAAAGTGTTATCAAACTCGAATGCGACTTCAATACAAAGGAAATCGCTCGAAATGCAAAGTTCAAGCGAGAAATGACCGCTTTCGGACGACCCCTCCACCACGTGGACATCGACACGTGGAACATTGCCAACCTTGACTTGGGGAGCGAACCTTATCTCGACAATGTCCACTTTTTCACAAAGTACCTCTCCGTGCAAAGGTTGGGCATATCGCTGGGAATTAATTCGGTGTGGATGCCCCAATTTTTGGAACAGGTTGGTACACTTCAATTCATACCTGTTGATGTTCATTCATTCATACATACATTCATTGAATTATTCATTCATTATTTCCTCAATTCATGAATGAAATGAGGCAAAAATGCATTCATGATTGAATGCATATTTTTTTCAAAATTTTTAATGAATGAATATTGAAGAAATATTTGTTCATTTCATGGATACATACATGTTCCAGAAAAAATGAATAGTTTCATCCATTATTCGTTTTTCCCTCTGTGTTTATTATTTATGTATATAATATGTATTAACAAAACGAATTTGGGACAAAAAACGAGTTGGTTTGTAGATGAATGAATAATACTAAAGGATTAAAACTATTCATTGTTTTCTGGAAATGAACAAATATTTACTCGATATTCATTCATTTCAAAAATTTTACCTTTTTTGAACAGGTATTACTCTATTCTGCCCACACCTTGGTCGAATTAGATCTGCATATTTTTGAGGATTCACTTAAAGAAGGCGACTCCCGAGCAGGATTTTGTGGCGGGAAGATATTCAATACCGTAAAAAAGCTGACACTGACATTTGCCACGCTATTTTGGCGAATTGTGCCACCCAGGGTACCGGGGGTCCACTACACTTCCGTACCACAAATTTTGGCCGCTTTCCCAAACATTGTCGAATTGAGAGTTACCGGATCCCTGCTCCCAGTTCTGTTTGTTGAGGGGAGTCCATCTCCAAGGTTAGTAATTTATGAACGGCCTCTAAGTTGGATTCATATTTCTTAGGTGTACTGAGGCAGAGGTCAACGCCGCGGTGATCAAATATCTTCGGCGGTGCCTACATAAATTACTAAACGTATACATGCTAAATAGGAAGGACAGGCTAAATTAGTATTCCTAATAATCTAAAATCTGCAATATTTCTTGGAGAATCTTTTCATTAACTGTTTCTTCATGCACTTTAGACAAGTTTTAGATTTAGAGAAAAATTGAACGTTATATTTGAAGGTCAAATTTTGACCATTTGAGGTGCTCATTAAAACTGTTTCAAAGATCACGGCTTTTTCATTTCACGCAGTTGGTCGTAACATTTCTTACATAATTCTATGATGATCTTTATTTAAGGTGTTTAAACCATCTAGGTAATAAGTCTTTGCCCATATTTCTTGGCTGGAACGTGAAGTAGTCAACTTGAATTTGATGATATAGTAAATGTGATCTGGTAAATTTCAATACGAAAATTTTTAAAATATCAATTTTCAAAATTAAAAAACTGTTAAAATTTTAAAAAAGATTAAAAAAAACATTGAAAAATTCAGTATGTAAATTTAAAAAATCATCAGATTTAAATGTAAATCGGCGGCCGAATATTGGCGCCGGCGCGCCGACCAGATTTTCACGGCGGCGGCGGCGCGTCAAAACGGTTCGGCGCCTGGCGGCGCGGCGGCGTATGATCGGCGGCGTTGACCTCTGTACTGAGGCATTTAAAAACTTTATTTTTAAATTATGAATTACGGGTTTGCGCAGGGTATTCCGACCTGGGTTTTAATGGGTTGGGTTTTATTGGGTTTTAATGGGTTGTAAATTGATAAAACCCACTGGGTTTTGCATGTTAAGTGGGTTTTATTAGGATTTTAATGAGTTTTATTGGGTTTTAAATGAATTTTACCTTAAAACTACATTCTAAAAGTTAAATACATCTCCTGTACGTTAGAAGACGTTATCTCAATTCATTCTAAAGCAGCGTATTTCATTACTGTACTAATATACGAAAATTCGGAACAAATCAACAATTGACTCCATCCTTCAGCATCACAGATTCCAAGTGTTATAAAATAAAAATAATTTCCGAATAGATACAAATTCCGAATTATTTTTGTTAAGTTATTACTTAAAACTAATTCAAACCAAATAAAACCCATTAAAACCCAAATAAAACCCAATTAACATGGTAAAACCCATTAAAACCCATGGGTTTTTCCGAACCCTGGGTTTGCGATTTAAGCCTAGTATGTAGGACGGACTTTTCAGGCGTAATCTTTGCTCTGTTCATATTAAATTTTCACTGAAAGATTTACCAAATTTGAGTAGTTTTTTTCAAATCCATTGCAAAATGTTTATTTTTTACGATTGTGCTTAATTTTGTCATGCGCATAATACAGATAAGTCATGCGTGCTAGGTTTAAACCGGTTTTAAATTTTTCTAAAATGTAAAAATGAAAAAATCGATATGATCACATTCGAAAATAAGTTATCGATTATTGTTTTGGAGCCTTAATCCTGGCTCCTAATTTACTTTTCTAAAGTAAATTCCCATTACATATTTTTAAGAGTGCTGCCTCTGCTTCCAGATTCTTGTCCAAGTTATGTGTCACAAATGGCATGTCAGGTTCCCAATGCAACGCCTTGCTAAATCTAACCCAACCCTTGAAGCATTTATACATCAAGTCCGCCAGTGACCCACGCGACCCCGACTGGGAGGATGGCGTCGACATCGAGGTTTCTCAATGTTTGTATGAAGTCCTCTCCAAAAATCGCCACACTTTGGAATACCTTGACCTACTATTGGATAAATTGCGGGCCGGTTGTGTCTGGAAATTTCCAAGTTTTCCGAATCTGAAACGCCTCAATTTTATGGAGGGGTTGGGTGCCCAGAAATATTACGATTGTGAAGTTTCTTTTGATGGCTCGGATATTTTAAATTACTCGGAAACATTTCCAAACCTGCAATCATTAAGTTTCTCACCGTGGGATGGGAATTGGACGCGTTGTTTCGAGTCGTTTTTTCCTGAGGAGGCAAGAGTTTGTAAAAGTGTGACGAACTTTGAGATTTTGGATAAGGTTCAACCGGATAATTTGGCCGATATGTTTGTGAAATTTGCCGAGGGGAAGATTGACGCCAGGTTTGGGAGGATTTTGAAATTGTTTCCGAATGTGGACAACCGTTTTATGAATGAATTGAGGAGTTATTTGGTAAAGATGGGACACATTTGTGATTAATTGAATTCGTTTTCAGTAGATTTTACAGAACCGATCATATCAGGACCGATAAGTGTTATTTCATTTAGTTAAGATTTAGTTGATACATAATTAAACTAGTAATTATACATATGTTTCAATTTGAAATTTTCAAATTTAAATTATAATTTGTTTATCCTAAAAACGTAATTTGAAGTTAGTCTTGCTAATATTTATTTAGCAAGTTAATAAACATCTTTTTCATTCCTTTGTTACGAATTTAAATTGTTATGTCTGTTTTAAATTTTTTAAATAAAGAACCATGCCCACATTTTTAGATCAGGGGGAGCATGGCGAAATTTAATAGTTAATTTACCGCAGCTGATACATACATATGTATATATGGAATACGCCCTTTCGGCGAAAAAAATATTTCGCGAAAATGTTTCGCCAAAAAATAGCTAATCACATTTGACGAAAATAAAATTCACTCATTTTGGATACAATTCTGTGCTTAATTTATATCGGCGAATATACACTAATTTTTCCAGAAATGAATACCGCATTTTCCTCCTGTCCCTGTGGATATGTATTATTTGAGTCTCAATATATGGGATCGTCCATATATTACGTCATCAAAAAGGAGGCTGTGTGATTTGGAGAGCCTAAACCTATCTCACTCCTCAAGCTTGTGTAACATGAGCAGGAAAAGAATTTAAAGGGGTAGGTTGTGCAAACTTTTTTTAGGACGGAATACATGGACGTCCCCTATTGTCAAAATCTGCCCCAATTCGGGACCCTATTGTTCACTTTGTGTAAAATGATGAAAGATCTCTTTATGTACTTTCACCCTCCATTTTAACAAAACAACATACATCTGTCTACATATGTACACTACGAAGGATTTATATATTTACACCAACGGTTAATTTTACAGAAACATTTACTCCTGCAAAAATTCTCTTTAAAATACTTAAATTTGACAACATCAAAACTTGACGTTTAACGTTTAAACTTTCTTTTAACTTAAGAGAACTGTGAGTATAATAAATAATCCTATATATATCTAAATATTCTGAGAACAATGTTTTTACTTCTGTTAATCGTAACTAAAGCGACAAACCTGTAAATGACAGGGGGTTATTGGGTCTGACGAAAATAAATAAACCACGGTGCAGGTAAGACGAAGTGCATAATTAAGTAACTGTTGCATGATAAATTTATTTAACTAATTTGACTCGACTCTTAAAACAATATTTATGTAATCCTATTACATACGCAATCATTTCAAATTTTTAATAATTGAAAAAAAATTTTATAATTAAATTTAAATTATTTGTTCCGGGAAATAAATAACACTTGAGTAGCCTTAATCGTGTATATTTTAATTGTCAGGTAATTTCCTCGTTAATAATAACGCTTTGAAAACATGTCAAAAAGGAAGGAATCCGTTCAGTAATCAGGCCCCACTTCGGACCCCTTGCTTATTGAAGATGTAAGTTGTAATTATATCTGTGTACAATGTACACTGTACATATGTATGTAGCAGAACCCCGTAATATTTAAGTTCATGTATACAAAACATACGCTCAAAATACTTTGAAAAGTCACCCACTGAGGAACTATAGTGCTTTAGTTTTACGGTCATGGTTATGTATTTAGAGCTTTTATCAAGCATGGAGAACATGAAGGAGCGTTCAAACACTATGTAATGTAAAAATCGCGACTTTATAGATCTCACCACCCTTTGCCTTTAACATGTCTCATAAGTATTTATGTCACGCCTTTTCCCTTACATACATATAAAAAAATATTAGAGATTAAAAGAGCTAATTTTTCAAAAATAATGCTCTCAGTTCTGTGTGGTACTTGAGTTTTTAGCCCGAGTCAAGGCTTATGTACCCGTCATGTCCGTCTGTCTGTCCGGTTGCGATAACTGTCATAAAACTAATCCGGTAGACTTGAAATCATGCACACAACTAGTATGTGTAAAATGAGATGTTAAGTTCCAAGATGGGCGAAATGGGTCAAGTGGTTGACCGGTGGGGGTCAAATAGGTGGGTGGGGTATTATGCACAAAAACTTCAAAATTATCGTAAAAGGTTGAAATTTGTTAATAGTTTCTAAGGAAAGGATATAAAGTAAAATTTCACGTGGACGAACCTATGGGGTATCCCACACCGATTTTTTTAAATCCTCGTATCGATTTGAAATTTGTTGCCAACCAGCGGCGTAGCCAAGGGGGGGGCTAGGGGGGCTTGAGCCCCCCCCAGAGCCCGAGAAAATAAAAAAAATAATAAAAAAATTGCAAAAAATTGCAAAAATTAAAAAATTAAAAAATAGGTTACGTATGAAGTTATGTATCAAATTGCGAGGATTCGTTATTACCTCGAATCCTTAGTATTTTTTGTATCGCAAAATAAGTTATGAAAGCTAAGAGATTTTCCGATAGTCGCATAACTGCACTGACAATGCGCAAGCACCAAATGTCTTTATCCGATTTTAATCGGATAAATTTTAAATTGTTGTCGTTCAAAAAAAATATCTACATTTTTGCATTTTCGTGGAGTTTCCCTTGTGACGGAATTTATAGCCAAAACTATGTAGAATCATTCAAAATGCTATAAATGTTTTAATTTTAAAATGATTTCAGAAATTTAAAAAAATAAGAAGAAAAATTACTTTTCAAAAACTTGTAATGTTAATAAGTTTGACAATGTTTGCATTTTTCAAACTCCCAGAGTGGCATGCAAGTTTTAAATTTTAAAGGTTTTTAGTAAAGTACTTGTTTTTAATCTGGTTAAAATTGGAAAACTTCCAGCGTTTTGAAAAATCCTGATTTAGGGTAAAAATTCAGGCAAAGGGAAAAATATACGCATCCAAAAAAAATGCGAAAAGATATCCCCAATTATTTCTGTGCACGAAATATTGAAAATTTGTCATGTCAAAATCGGGGAAAATCACTTCAGGTCTCCGCATTATAAGCTCACGGTTTTTATGAAGCTTGATACTTCGTTTTTGATTTCTATGCTATTTTACGATACTAAGGACGCGAAGACAAATCTGGATACCGGTTTTTAATTTGAGGCTTGCGTATTTCATTCGTCGTTTAATTTTTAGATAATTAAAATGTTGGGGACCTGTTTTTAATCAAAAATATTTTAAGCTACGTCGCCAAAGTTTTTATTAGAGATATGTCAAGGGTATAAATTCAATCTGGTAACATTTTTCACTGCAAAGCAAACGTTTTTTTCGAAACTGCAGGTATTACAAAACCCATTTTTTAACATAACGCTACGCTGGTACAATTTTTGATATAAGGTGTGTCCAGGAATAAATGGTTCCGCGCATAATGTCCTGGGTTTTACGACCAGGTAAGTAGAATATTATAAAAGCTTCGGCAAGTTGTACGTGGAAACCATAGCGACTAGATTTTGCTTCGAAGGATTTATCTTTCTCCATTTTCGGCCACCAATCCGACTTTTCGCAGCAACCCTAAAATTAGCGGTTTTTGGACAGATTAAGAAATGTCCTGGCTGATTTTTTGGCATTAGCGTTAGAATTTTAACAGCCTTTCCGCCTTGGTGCGAAGGTTTTAGTACCTTCTTTTGCACAAGGCCCAAAGCTCTTAATGAGTGGTTTTGCGGAATAAATTTACACCCATGTAAGTCCTTAATCTTTGGACCAATTATTCTAATCATGCCTTAAGCTGTCTGTTGAAGACTTTTGGATAATTTTTCTCAAGTTGAAACTGGTGTGATCTTTGAGTGATCTCTAAAATTTTGTCAATAAACCCTTGATGTTGCCAGGATTTTTTATATAATTTTTCTTTGATTGCAAAAGACTATCCAAGGAAAACAAGGTTGAATTTATAACTGGCTACCACCATTTGCTACATTTATAGGTGTTACACTTTGCGTTGAGGCCACTTGGTACCACCACACTTTAACCCAAATTTACAGACCCTCGTTAGTGTGTGGTCCGATTTTTTGTCATCAAAAAACCACTGGGATGAATTAAATACACACGATTTACATAAGTACTACAGATATAATAAATGTTTGAGGAATTTATAGGTCAGGCATTATATGTATATGGCGCGCTAAAGTTAGTGGTTTTTGACACTAAAAGCTAAAATATGTACGTATGTATGTATGTAGATATGTAAACTAGGGAAGTGAGCGTAGCGGATCAGACTGGCACAAAAATGTGGATATCTGGAAAAATAGCAGACTGGGTTTACTAAAAATTTACGATAATAAACAAGTGACCCTACCCTACAATCACCCTCAACCACAGTGTGTTCGGGTTCGTGTGTGGCTTCCACAACCACTTTGTTCTTGAAGACTCACAAAAAAATTTTCTCACCCACCTGGAGCTAGCTTGCTACCACATTCTGTTGAATCCAGTCCATCCATTCGGTATTCCTGATTCACTAGGATATTAGCTTTCAAAATCTGTCCCTACTTTTTCAATGTGACGACATCCGGGAAATTTTTGGGTATTTTCCTCTGGGCAAAAAAAGCAAAGATGTTTAACTTTTTAGCAATTTTTTGGAATTTTGACTTATTGACAGCGAGTAGCGTCCAGCCAAAAAATAATTTTCTGCTGAAGATGATTACCAATGATCATGGATTTTAAAATTCATTTGATCCAGTTTTTTGCGTACGTATTTTGGTCACTGGGGTCATTTATAGTGAATAATTCAGGGTCATTTCTTTTCTGACAAATCCCCAATTTTTTTGGGAAAATTGCTTGTCACTTTTCATTTGAAGTTATATCACACTTCCTTACCCTTGACTGAACATAAGATTGGCCATTTGATAATTCAGATAAATTCGATTCTGATCATCCAAATGAATTTAGTTTCGAGCATATTGAAAAATATTATGCAAAGTGTCCACGTTGAATTCGACCTAAAACCAAGTTGTAGGTATTGTTTAAAGTAATACATGATGATTTTTTAAGTCAGCATAAGTTTATCTAAAAATTCAATAAACAATTTTGTTTTTAAATCCGCGTGCGGAGCCACATGCCGTTTTTTGACCAGTCTTATCCGCTAGGCGCACTTCCCTATGTATCTATACCCTTTGATACTCCGTGTTATAATGGTGTGAGTGAGTGAACGTTGAAATTTTAAGCCTAAAAAGGTTAATATAAATATTTTTTGGCTGGGCCCCCCCCCCAAGGCACAATCCTGGCTACGCCGCTGTTGCCAACTGTTATTAATGCAATAATGTGAATTTAACCTGTAAAACCTAAACTTTTTGAAATGCGTTTAAGATAAGGTTTCATGTAAAGAAGTGGGATTGAGTGATAACAACAAATTGGCCTGAATCGGGCTACATCAAGTCCTCACTTTAGGTTTTGAGTCAAAACCTAAGTACATAAGTCAAGACTTTTGACTTATGTACTCTTAACCGTCAAATCTTTTCATTACTCCAAAACGGTGCTAGGCGGTTACATGGACAGTAGTATATTTACAATTCATATGTATGTCAATTTATATATTAATTTCAGGTAATAACCCCCATCTGTTCCTGGCTTCCCCTCCGCGACGTGAAAAACTGTCGCCTCGTCTCCCGAACGTGGAACGTCTCGGCCAAACCGATCCTCCGAAAGAAAAGTATTATTCGTTTTCAATGCTACTTCGATCAGAAGGAAATCGCTCGAAATGCAAAGTTTCAGAGGGAAATGGCCTCTTTTGGAATCCTGCACCACGTGGCCATTGACATGGACGAGGAGGAAATTTGTACCGACAAAAACGAGCCGCTAGATGGCTACGAGAAGAGTGAAGTTTACCTGGATAACGTCCACTTTTTCACCAAGTATCTCTCCGTGCAAAACTTGGACATAAGGGGACATATCGCGTGGCCCTTTGTGTTCCAACTTTTGGAAAATATTCTCCTCTCATGCTCCTCCGACTTGGTCCAAGTCGCGATTAAGATGAGTATTAGTCAAGATTTCGTTAAAGGGGACGACCCTCGAATAGTATTTTGTGGCGGGAACAAATTCAACAAGGTGAAAAAACTGGACATTTCGTTTCGTGCGGCAGAAGAATTTGCAGTGTCGCCGGTCAGAGTAGGACAAATTTTGCCGGCTTTTCCAAACATTAAGGATCTAAGCGTTGGTGCCGCCTTTCTTCCGTTTGTGTTTCCTGATAAGAATTCGTCTCCAAGGTGAGTTGGATGCAACTTTGTTTAGGGGTCGTTATATGTACCTGTTCACTTTCATTCATGTGACTGATTATGATAAATAGTGAATGATAGTAAATGAAAATGAATTTGTTGTGATTTGAATGATAATGAATGAAATATTCATTTCGGAAAAGCGACTGCGAATGCAAGGATTTCTTACTCCTTTCATTTTTCACCCTGAATGATAAATCCTTCCATTCACAGTTACTCATCGGAAATGACTGAATCTTTCACTCATTGTCATTCAAATCCCAGGAAATTCATTTTCATTTTCATTCACTATCATAATCAGTCACATGAATGATAGTGAACAGGTACAACATGTAGGTATACATACTCTAAAATATGAACACCACATGCATACATTCTCCCACTTACAGATTCTTGTCCACGTTACGGATCACGAAGGACGTGCCTGGCTCCCACTGCACCTTCCTACTAAATCTGACCCACCCCCTGAAGTACTTACACATCGAAGCCGCCTTCAACCCACGCGGCCACTACTGGGACGACCAAGTCGACATCGACGTGGCCCCCGTTTTGTACCAAGTTCTCTGCAAACATCGCCACACTTTGGAATATCTCGCCCTCGGATTGGAAGGGTTGTCTTGCAGGAGCGTTTGGAAACTTCCAAATTTTCCGAACTTAAAACGATTCACTTGTTTGGGCAGCTGCGAAGTTGAGGTTACTTTCGAGTCGGGAAGTATAAATTATTCGGAAACATTTCCAAAGCTGGAATCACTCGGGTTCGCTGAGTGGCATGGGGCCTGGACGCATTGTTTCCAGTCCTTTTTTCCTGCCCGGACTGAAATTTGTCAAAGTGTAAGGAGATTCTACATTTCGGGGTGGGTAGAACCGGACAGTTCGAGCGATGAGGAAGACGAGAAGGGGAAAATTGATGCCAGGTTTGGCCGGATTTTGAATTTTTTTCCAAACGCGGACAACCCTTTTATGCAGAAATGGAGGCTTTACTAGATCGAGAAGAAATTCATTCTTAAATAAATCGTGGGTGGGGGTCGGACAGAAATTATGTAACGCGAGGGGGGAGGGGGCAAGGACCTAAAGAATCGAAACTTTTGCGCTACATAATTTATGCGGACGGCGCTTTGCAGAATTTACACTTTTGTAAAATCCGATTGACTTATCAGTTGTATCTGATAAGTCCGAATTTCAAAATAAAATTCCAAGTAAATTTGCACATTCGTAATTAACGAATTGGTACGTACAGTACGCAAAAGAATAAATCGTACCTATACGTATTTTTAATTGCGATATGAAATCATGCCCTTAGAGCTTCGGTGCTCTGCACGCTGTTGTATAAACTCATAGGCGAATAATTCCTCGTCGCCGATTTTTAAGGTCACCGCACGGTCAAAGGTCAGAATTTTTCCAGTAATTCAAAATGAGAGGCCAGAATGAAAACTTCATTGATAATTTTTTTTGGACTTAGCAACATTTTTTATTGAATGCGGCAAGGCTTCACGAAAAAAATGAGCTATCATACGACCGTGTACGATTTTTTTGACGCCCACAGGAATTTTTCGCCATGGACAGTTTTGAGGGCTAAAATCAGGGTTCGCTACCCCGGGTTTTTGTGGGTTGGGGTTTTTGGGGCTTTTGTGGGTTTTTGGGGTATCAAATCTCCGGAAAAACCCTAATGCTTAATGGGGTTTTTGCGGGTTTTTGTGGGTTTTAGTGGGTTTTTCCGGGGTTTTTGTAAGATTTTGGGGTAGATTGAAACAAAATCTTTTAAACAACAATTTAGATCAATGCTAATTAAATTGACGGATTCATCATGAAATTTTGAGAATTTTCATGTGCGACTTGAATTTCCAAGTTTTATTGCATATTTCCAAGTTTGCATGCGAAATATGAATTTTCGATTTAACAGTCCAACTCAATGATTACGCTTAAAATTGCATGTCAAAATCGTATATTAAATTACTTTTTATCTAATATATAATTTAAAGAATTTTGGTTCAACCTGCCCCAAAATCTACAAAAACCCACAAAAACCCACAAAAACCCAAAAACCCACAAAAACCCCAAAAACCCCGGAAAAACCCGCGGGGTTGGGTTTTTCTAGAAAAACCCCGGGGTTTTCCGAACCCTGGCTAAAATCGTGACCGTGGCGAAATTCAAAGAATTGAAATATACAAAAACATATAAACATCGAATATATAGCATTCATATTATTAGCATAGTGTAATATACCTACTACTGCCATATATTCTGTCTCAAGCATTCCGCGCGCAAAAAACATCAGTAGCAGTTACGTTAGCCAGTTGTACTATTTTTTATTGAATTCCCCATGCAATTGTCTATCAGAAACCATCTTCCGAAATTTTTTGTGATACAAGGTGCTAAAATGACAGATCGGACAAATCGACGTGTTGCAATTTTTCAGAAACATTTTTGCAAACATAAAAATTCGGCATTTTTCAATAGATCATTAAAAATCGGAACTAATTGCAAGATGGTCGACCATACCATAAAATGATCCACTAACATTGGCAGTGTTGATAACCGAAAACCGAGTTGAAGGGAACGGTCAAAAAGGTCACAAAAAATCACGAAGGCGCACAAAACCTGAACTCGGCTGAATTCACGCCGGATCCTAAGAAAAATGTCCCTACAAATGAACGGTCCAAGTAAAACTACGTCCCAGGCCCCTAAACTCGACCTTGGACTTATGTTTTTAAGATGTGAAAAGAAACACTTGCTAACTTCACGCCAAGTAAAAATAGGACCCTTGAAAGCCGCGCACTGATCATGCGGTACGCGCTTGAAAAATGGAAATAAGTATTTTTCAAAGATAAGTAAACTTTCACAATAGAGGTCATATAAAATTAGCAAAAGCACTTCGTCCACACCCCACCAGTCCATATTATTCATAAAATTTTTTAAAATATTAGTCGGACCCACCATCCAGATTCTGTGATTTTTTTATTCGGCGTAGATTGGATTTGGTCAAAAAAGTGAATTGTCTTCCTCTGGGGGTGAAATTTCTTGTCAAAAAGTATTTTTTGAAGTTATCGAGCGAATAGAAGAACCACTGGACCACACTCTATTAAAAAATAGCTGCTAAGTATTCGAGCAGGGCTCAGGACCTGCTGATAAGGCCAAAATAGTAAAAATGGGGTAAAATTCCAAAATTTCTTACTCCATTTCGGATCAAGAATAAAATGCACTGTCGCCGAACCTCAACCTTCTGGAATACGATATGTGGTCCAAACTGAAGCTAGATACATGTGCTAAACACCACACAAGTTTGGAATCCGAGAAAAAATCTGTCGCTTAGAAATGAGACTAATATTCCTTGGAATGAGTGCGTACCGCGAGTGAGATGTGGATATCTAGACTTTGGGCTATTGTAGCTTCGAAAGGAGGAAATTTTGGAAAGTGCCCGGTATATTTTGTAGGGAATTTAATAGGCTTTCTCATGATATCGTTCGTTTTTTAAAATTCACTAAACTGAGTCCGCTACATTAATTTGTTTAGTGGTCAAAACTTATGGCAGTAGTAGGTAGCATTATTTGGAAAATTTCGTAATATCTCATAAGAAACAGATTTAAGCAAAAAAAATTCCAAATAATACTATACAAATGCTCAAAACGACTTAACAAGGAGAATAAAATATATCTGGCTCGAAGAAAGGAAAAAGAAAATGGAAAGAAGAAATCTAATTTTCTAAGAAAATGGAACAAAGAAATTTGGTCACTTTGGACATTTTGGTCCATTTCCTATTTTGGACACTTTTTGTGCATTTTGGACAGCTGTTTTGGACAATGATTAGAACCGTAGCGAAACAATGTCTTCATCAGAGGTGGAGAGAGAGTATAATCCGTAAAGGTCAAAAGCAAAAATTTCACCTTTGCTAAAAGCATTGAGAAAATTCCTAGACTTGCGTCACTAAAATCGTCATTACTTTTTCAAAAGTGATTTTAACACGGAAATTTTTGCATATTGTTTCATACCGATATAGTGTGCAATATTTGCATATAGTAGGATATCTGAACTCTCCACCCACCTAAATAGTATACCTAGTAAGTCCAAAAAAAATTATCCATGAAGTTTTCATTCTGGCCTCTCATTTTGAATTACTGGAAAAATTCTGACCTTTGACCGTGCGGTGACCTTAAAAATCGGCGACGAGGAATTATTCGCCTATGAGTTTATACAACAGCGTGCAGAGCACCGAAGCTCTAAGGGCATGATTTCATATGGCAATTAAAAATACGTAAAGGTACGATTTATTCTTTTGCTTACTGTATTTGTAGATGTTAATTTAATAAGTAAAGTTGAAGTTGAATATTTTGCATGAAATGCAACTGTAAATTATAACTCATTTTAAAAAATATACTTTAAAATGAGTTTTGCTAATGCATTAACGTAAATTACTTAACCAGTAAATTAACTGAATTTGAGTCTGTAGATTTTTTACATGACTGATAAGTGACATGTTATTAATATTGCTTTAAATATGTTTCGTTTATTTCAATCTAAACGTGTATCTATTTTGAAAACGTAATTTAAAATTAATTTTGTTTGATATATAAGAAACTTACTTAACAACTTAATAAATACGTTTTAAATGTACTCATTTGTTCCGAATTTAAAACTTTTTTTGTCTGTCTTACACTTTATCATAAGGTTAAAAAATCATGGCCATATTTTTAGGTCATTTTTTAGCCGCGGCAGTAATAAATTCGGGAGACGGTCAGGTTGGCGAAAAACCTTTTGTCAAAAAAATTACACTTGATGGAAGCAAAGTCACTCACTTTATATCCTTCCTACTTACAAATATTTATGTTTGCGAAATGTTTTAAAATATAAACCTTTTGGCAAGAATATGTGCATAATGGCAATGACACTTTTGGACAAAATGTGGATCCAGGGTTTCGTTTTTCCACTACATATTTTTTACCACGGTAGGTGGAAAAAAGTGGGATAAACCGGGATAAACGGGTTTTACCATCCAAAATGGGAAAATATGCCGGCCCATGTATGGTAAGTGCGAACTTCCTTAATAATCAATATTTTCGGAATTGAACTTCATATTCGTCATCTCCATGAATTTCTGAAAATTTTGATATGTAATACGGGCATTTTTCAACAAGTTTGATTGTTTTTCCAATTGTTCCATATGCACACATTTAAAGGGCGAAATTTATTATTCGCCAATTTGCATACATAATTTTTGCATTTTTCTATTTTCGCCCAGCGTGACATTAACTTTGGCACTTCGATTATATTTTTTACCACATTCGCAAAAATTTGTTTTCGCTAATTTGACTATCACCAAACTGAACAAGAAAATCTAACGCTTGACTTGCGAGTCTCATCCTCCGTCTGAAATTCTCACAACCAGCGATGTGTTATCACGAAACACGAAACACGAAACACGAAAAAAGCCCTGTTTTCACTCAATAAAACCCTCGCCAAAAATCCAATTTCTATAGGATTTTGAAAACATTGCACCATTATACTCCCAGATAGTTGTGTTATCATATCCAATATTAAACTCAAATTTTTTGAAATTTTTATTTTTTCGAAGACGTACCCCTGGTCAGGAAATTTTCGAAAATATTCAAAAAATTAAAAAAATATTTTGGTGTCGGATATTATAAAACAACTTTCTGGGAGTATGCTGGTGCAAAATTTTCAAATTGCGGCCAAATTTGAATTTTTGGCAAGCGTTTGAAGATGGCGATTTTCATGTTTTTGATGCCTTTAAGTGGGTGTGGTGGGCGCAAATGTGGCCATGATATCAAACCACTTGGGGGTTGTTGTTCACTCATGGGGTGCTCCAACATATCCAAAGGGCATCGAGATCTGTGGGTGGCAACTAGTGAGGTATTCCTCCTGAGACTGACAACCGATAACACATCGCTGGTTGTGAGAATTTCAGACGGAGGATGAGACTCGCAAGTCAAGCGTTAGATTTTCTTGTTCAGTTTGGTGATAGTCAAATTAGCGAACCACCCAT